TCGTTGCTGCACTTATTGCGTGTTATCCTTTCAAAAATCTGAAACACTTCAAAGGAATTCTAAACACACGCACGCATGCAGACTTCCTCCAGGGTTACATGAACTTGACGGGAGGGGGGGGGGAGAAGGAAAAGATCCGGCGAGTATATTACTCGGCGAGTGTTGACCTAACAAGAAGATATTCACAAAGTCTAAACTTCCAACGAGACCTTTGCAACGCAACACAGGACATGTGAACCACGAGGACCCCCCCATCTAATAACCGGCGGCCCGATCCGAGCCCAGCGAGCGTGTGTGCCACTGTGCTTGCACGCTCAGCCGTGCCAGCCCCTCGATGAGAGTCGAAGAGGGACACACTGGAGACTCTGTGTTGTCCTCTGCTTGATTGGCAGTGGTGCGGGGGGGGGGAGGGTTTGGCCGCCACTTTACAGAGAGTCCAGTGTTGCTTTTCGGTTAACTTTTATGGGCCATGTTCTTATTCCCTTACTGTAATCCCAAGCCGTGCAAACAATAAGCCCAAGGGTTTTTTTTTGGGGCCAAATGAGCTTAATATGGTTGCTGACCACATGAAATGCAATGCCGTGCGTTAGTATTCCGGCGTGTCTTTTTTGCCGATGGGAACTTCTCCACATTTACGGTCTGGAGGATTTATTTTCTACCGCTTCGCTTTCTCTTTTCCGTGCTCCTTTGCTCGGATCATTTGAATCTCAGCGATGAGCAAGAACAAGCGAGACCTCCTCCGCCAGAATAAAGAGGCTCTCTTTTTTTTTTTTAATGACCTGGTCTGGGGGGGGGGGGGGCGCCTTGTCGGGCGAAACATTCAGAGTCGTTTTTTTGCGCCACGACCGATCAATGTGGGCATTGTCGCTGCACTCTCGCGGCAGATGCCAACCTGAATGCAAATCTCACACCATGGGAGATAGGGCGAGGATTCGTGGAGCCGTTCCGAGCCACGGGAAAACAGTGGAAGTGCTCTTAAAAGTGTCATCACACCCACCTTGGGTTTCACCTTCATTTTTACTCTCAAGTGGTTTGTGTAGAGCAGCAGGGCGCTGCCAATCCTGGTCGTACATCGGTGCAGTAATCTGCCGATGCTACATTCTTTCCTTTAATGACAAGTTTACAAGCAAAAGGATTACGTCAGAAACAAATGAATGTAATCCTTGTGTTAATCAGTCGGCTTTCTTTGGAGGAAATTGAATGGCCAACGTGAGTGAATGGCTCCCAGATAATGTGTGTTTCCATGCATTGATCGTGTTTGCACTGTGGCCTGTAGATGAAAACTCAATGCCACGTGCGCCTGTCGGTACCAACAAGCGTTCGGGAGGAAAGTCTGACCGGTTCTTTTTAAGGGCCCTCTCCACGTGGACAGTTCACCGCGAACAGAGCATGTCCGAAATTGCATAAGAGACTGCCATTGTTGGGGAGAAATATATCCGAGTAATTGGGCATATAAATGTGGGGGGGGGGGGGGGGGGATATTGAAATTTTAAAACTACATATCGTAAATAATTCCATTTCTGGATGAGGGCCTCCTCTTGCCTTTCGGTCACAGATGTTGTTTGACCATCCTTCACCACGCTGATCAGTGACGGTTGGTGACTGACGTGGTGCCCAGGATTGGTTCGGATATCACTCACCACAGATGTTAGCCGTGGCTGGTCATGGAACCCATGTGATTGATTTCATAGCAGTGTGCTAATGATTGCCACACCACTCCCCATAATAATAATAATATCATGCTTTTTTAACGTTTAGTTATTTTTTTTCCTTAATTTAATTTAACATTTTCAGAAACAATACATTTTACAAGAAGAAGCGTACACTAAATATGTGTGGTACCTTCAACTTATAAAAAACTATTAAACAATTTTTATTTTACCAGTTAAGGCTATATACAGCTCTTTTTCACATGTGACTTTGATCAAGTTATAGCTCAACGAAGTGGCTTATCATGTAGAAATTGACAGCAGCCAAATACTCTAAACGCAAGCTTCTAAATGTGGAGGGAAAAACCGCAGGATCCGGAGAAAAATCCACGCCACCACGGGGAGAGAGACACGCAAACTCCAAATATACAGCAGCAGGCGTCGGGGTTGCGATAAAACCCACGGCCTCCTGCATACCAGGCGAGAGAGTTAATGTCTCGGCACTCCAATGGCAAAATAATGGCTAAATAGTTTATGGCAAAATAAAAATATAATACCGACCTGCCTGCGTGAGATGTTTTGACCGTTAATAAATTCCATGTAAACGTTTGCATTGCTCAAATAGTTGTGCAGAGGCCGTCTTACACGCCGGCTTTACAGTGACATCTCGCCACGCCATGGGCTACACCACACAAGTCTGCTGGTGCCTTCGCAGAAAGTTAAACTCCTTTTGATTCGCAGACATTGCCAGAAACCTGGTCTCCAAAGTTTCCACGAACAACATTTTAAATCTTTATAATGTAAAAAAACAAAAATCTCCTCAAGTTTCTTTGGCCTCAATCTTTTATCGTCATCTTTCCATGGATATCCGTCGAGCAGATTTCTCTACGTTGCCTTTCCAGCAATGCAGCGAAAAGAGGAAAGTAAGACCCAAAGGGTACGATCCTACTACGATGGATTCTGGCAGAAGGGGCTAAGATGGATCAAATGTTGATGTCGCGACCGAACATACCTATCAACATAAGTATCAACAGGCCTTACATGATGATCATATCAATATACGTATCAACATGCCTGACATGGAAGGAGATCCTATGAGGCATGTGAATAGATCTATTTGAACATTCGTTGAATAAATATACGTTGCTCGTACATTTTCTTTCTTAACTTCACAATGTAAATGTCCGTATGAAACCTAATATTTACAAACATCTGCTGAGTGGGATCCACGGTGTGACCAAGATAGTCCAGTTAAGCACACTTGTGTATTGCTTTGATGGAGGGTTGTTGTTGCGCAACAACAACCGTACCGAGTGCAGAAAGAAACGTAACCCCCCCCCCCCCATGTGCATTTGCCAAAAAATCCGCTGTTTCCAGTTCATTCAACGCGCGCAGGGATCGCCGCTCCTTGCCAACGTGCGAGGCGTGGCGACAGACGTGGTATGTTGTGTGCAGCTCCGACGTGACGGCGCGGGCGAGCCGCGTGCGGTGGTGGCGGCACCGCCACGCTCGTTCACGGGTCTGACGATCACATCCAGGCGGCGCTGCGGCAGCGCTGCGGCGGCGCTGGCCGCATGCGCGCCGCGTGGAGCTCGTCGTCTCGTGACACGAAGTTTTCTCCGCGGCGTTTAAACTGGACGCGTTTTTTTTTTTGTTTCAATTGTGATTCATTATTTCAACGCCGGCCGTTTTTTTTTTAAAGCTCGCTGAAACACGCGTCAAGCAGACGCGTCTGCGTCGAGCCCCGCTTGTTTTCAATTTGCAGCGTGTCAAACGAGAAGATAGTGTCATCTTAAATGGGGGGGGGGGGGGGGGGGGTAGAGTAAGCCCTTATTCTGGAAGCTGTAGTCGGCACAGATATTTTCCCAGACGTATCAGTTGTGCTGTATCGAAACCAGCATATGATTCCGAAAGCATTGAGATGAATGAGGACATCGTTTGAAATTGCTATGGTTGGGAGATGTCCTGACTTTAAATAAAACAATGCGGCTAAGCTGGAGAGACCGCTGTGAGCTACTGAAACATATATAGGCTTGTTAGAAATATACAGGCTTAGGAGGCCAGGTGGAAAAATCACCTCGCAACAGGAAGCGCCTAGGTTTGAACCAGTCGTGGGTGCCTTTCCGCGTGGATTTTGTATGCTCTCCCTCTGGGTTTCCTCCGGGTTCTCCGGTTTTCTCCCACAGCGGACAAAATAAAACCCTACAAATGTCACTCGTATTGGCCAATCATCTCAATGCTGAAAAAAAATATCTGAAAATTACTCGATCGAGATCACACGCAGCAGCAGCAGCAGCAGGAGCATCGCTCCCTCCTGCGAACCCTTGGCAGGATCCTCCTGAAAACGGGTCTTGACGCCCAGTGATGCTTTCCTGGGTAAACGTACAATACTGATCATAGAATACTAGATGCCCTTTACAAATACAGTTCGGGTGTTTTAAATCACCTTTGCAGCCTAGCATACACTCAACCGCATACCCACGAAAGTGTGCACGCCAGTGTATGCACAGGTATACAGATAGGCGGACTGAGTGTACACGCACGCACGCACGGGTAATGTGCCTCGCACATAACAGATACCATTACAAATACTTTGTTTTTAGAGAGCACATCGCTGCATCTCAGATGTCCAGTTGGTTCCCCACCTCTTACCCAGCGAGTCTGCTTTGTGTAACTATACTGCCCCCTATGGAAAGAGTGAGAGTAGAGGCCGAGATAGCAACTCAAAGTTCATCACGAATCCTCGTCGGCGTCGTCATCATCATCATCATCCACATTCCATCCGCTGCTGGATGATGGCCTCCGCACACGCTTTCCTCGTGAATCGCAGTGCGGACGAGACAGAAACATGTTACGGAGAGTACAAATGAGACGGTACAAATGAGAAAATAATCTATTTGAATCAAATCGTCAGCTCCCACTGGAGGTGAATCCTTGTAAATGCTCATTCACCGTGACATGTATAATTTCACCTGTGAAAAGTTTTTATTCACATGAACAAACCGTTGTAAGTGAACCAGTGAAGTTGCTCAATACTTTCTGAATAGTGTCCCCCCACTTGATGGGCAACAACAAGTCCCCATGGTGTTGTGTCTGCCATTCAAGCTCGCAGATCTCGTGTATGCCTGTGTTGCTCATCAGCCAAGCCCTCAGTCACGCCCGACGGTGTGTGACGCTCTCTGGCAAGTCGCCGTTAAATCCTCGGATTTAACCGCATCTAACCGACCCTCGGTGTAACTGAGCCGTTCTCCTGAGCAGGTGAAGACATGTGTGATTGCTCGTCTCCTTAGGCATTAACATCCGTGGGTATTGATGTGCGTGCGTACGTGCGTTCTGTGTCGTTTTGCGCAGGGCGAGTGCGGGAACTTTGTGCGCGTGATCCAGCCCTACAACCGCACGCACCTGTACGTGTGCGGCACAGGCGCCTACCACCCCATCTGCACCTACGCCAACGTCGGGCGCCGGGCAGAGGTATTGCTGCCGCCTGGGGTAGGAACGCCCTTTGACCTTGTCCCACACCCGCAAGTCTCCTCCGCTGTCCGCTCTCCTGGGCCATGAAGCATGCTGGCTCAAGTAATTTCTTTCCAGTGGCGTATCCAAGGAGTGATGGGGTAGGAAGAAGAGATTGATGGCGGTGGTGGTGGCAGGAAGGAAATGGTAATTCACCAGCCTGAACCACCCCATTTGTTGTCATGGTGGAGTGGCCGCTTGATCAGATGGAGCCACCGGGGAGTTGGTGTTTTCTCGGCGATAGTTTCCCCTGCCACTAAAAGGAAGTTGTTGTTCTCGATAATCCGAGGATACGCCTCTCGCTCCGTCACATCACAGCCCTCCCAGCTCCACTAGGCGTCCGTTCGTACGTTTGGACAATCTAATCGGAAAGCACGATACGTACATTGATTCACAGTGCTTCTTCCAAAAAGAGCCGATGAAATTGGATCAAGCAAGTTAAATGTGGAGGGCTTGAGCATTTCACACAATTAACAATGACTGACTAATATAATGCACACTGCAATTACTGGATGGATGGGATGCATAATGGTTTGCAAAATACTTGCATTTTCAGTCATGTTTATACAACTGGAATGTTTTTACACGTGCTTGTTGATCTCTGCATTTGTAGCCATCGCAGTGAAATGGCTAATAACACAAATCAATGTTAATTATAAAATAAGCAATTAATATACATTGCATGAACGTAATTCAGCCACGGTAAACGCATGCATGACACTTTCATGGTCACCCAGGTTTCCATAAAAAACATAACTTTTATTGTGATTTTTGTGAATGCTTTTGGATCTATTCGGTAGAGAAAGCCAAATTCAATCCTGTACGAATGACCAAAAAAAAAACAGAGTAAAACACGATACTACTTTCAGACCAATGCGATGTTTTCTACAGACCTTTCTTTCGCCACCGTGGGATGAGTGAAAAGGGCTGCTGAAAATCCGTGCGAGTTGATCTGCTGTTGACATTAAAGTTCCTTTGTGGTCATTCAGCCACCGATGAGTGGGAGGGGGGGAGGGCATTGGAGGCCGTCATTTTCAGTTTCGAATGAAAATGTAAAAAAATTGGGGGGTGTCCAAATTATAAGCTCCGATTTGTATTTTTTGCGGTAGTGTGTGTTTTTATGGAAACCTGGCTCACCTGCCATCGTCTTTTCTCCATCTCACTTTGTGAGCAAACGTTTGATGTGTTTTGTGATAACATTACAACAACAAAAAACCACACGCACACACACACACACCTACATGAAATGTAATGCACAGTGGAAAGTATTTAGATTTTAAAAAGGATCGTAGGGTTCTTTTGGTTTTGGCTTCGATTCCCCGTCTGAGAGGGCACGCACGAAAGTAGCACGCTCTGCTAAATGTGTAGCTGCTGATTGGTCGATGGTGAATTCTTATTAATCGTAAGAAAGGAAATAAAATTTGATACATTTAAAAAATAATTGGTTTAAGGGGTGCACCGACAACAGGTACACACACATATGTCTGTGGTCGCCATAGTTACAAAGGAACGGTTATTAAAAAGTAAGAACAGTTGGAATGCAAAAGTGTCACATTACAAGATACATTGAATCTCAGTGAGCTTTTGCATGGTTACATAAAATGTTCAACGTGAATTGAAAAGCCTTTGCATGCAATTGAAATCTCGAAGCTAATGGTAGTGGTGGGCAGAGCTTGTCCCGAATTGGAAGTTTTAAACCAGTGGTTTAAATTCCACATTCCTCTGGTAGGGGCCCAGTTTATCCATAGGAAAATCCACTGTTGCTTTTCAAAAAGACTTCGCCCAAAATGTACTCCGTCATGAAATTACATTTACAGCAGGCTTTTTATTTTCTTGATTGTTTTTTAAATAAAGGCAGTTGTCAGCCATTTGTTTTCTAGTTTTAGCCATGGCCAATATTGCTATTTATGGAAATACTACATGGATAAGTATGTATTTTTACAAACACATACTTGATGCACTAAACATATGTAATGTAAAACATGTCTCTTGTTGTTTACGACGTGTCTATAGATAGTGAGAAGCTCCCTGATTGTGTAAATGTTGAATGTTTGCCACCTGCTGTGGCGCAGTGTGAACATTGCTGCTGTGCAGTGTGGACATTGCTGGTGTGTTCTGACTGGATGTCACCATTGACAGGACCGCACGCTGCTGCTGAGCCACGGGAAACCAGAGTCGGGCAAGGGCAAGTGCTCCTATAGCCCCAAACTGGAGAGCGTCTCACTCATGATCAGTACGTAGAGCTTTCTCACATTCACACACACACGCACAGCAACCGCCATTAGCCACGGCGCTTGTGCCAGGCTATGTGCACGTTAAGGCCACGTGAAGTGTCGAACGCCCACTGGCAGGAGGTCACGGGACAGACCCAGGTGCCATGGGTTGACTGAGATGACTGGCCGATGCACCACCTGTGCCCCCTACTGTGCCAACTTTGCTCTTTTAGCCACCCGGTGCTCACTCGTTGTTGTGAACATCGCTTCTTTGCCCTCCGTTGTTGCTGGAGGGCGACTGCCTCCAGCTTTCCAGTAGCGTCCTTCACAAGCCTCGTCCAAAGAGACCGATCTTGACACCATTGGTATGCTCCAGATAGAGCAGCAGCGCCTCAAACTTATCCTCTGAATGAGCAACAATCACCAGAACATCAGCATACATAACATGGTTGACCCATAATGAAGTCATCCCTTGACTGCACCCAGGTATAAATCATCCTTCCATTGTATCTGTACCAGATGGAAATTCCTCCGGTACAGCCATCTAAGGCTTCACGAACTACGTGGTCGAAATAGATGTTCAATATTGTGGGAGCCAGAGGACACAGTTTTACCCGGGCCTGCCTACTATCATGAAGGTCCTTAATGATTGTGAGCAGAGAGTGAGGGACTCTGAAAGAATAAAGAACAACATAACTGCCCCAGAACACAAACGTGCTTCGAATGTTACATTTGTTTTGCAGTGTGTGATTTCAATTGGCTGCTTTAAATATTTAGGCATCATTGTCCCGACTCTAAATAATCAGTCTGTGACTTAAATGCAAACACCCGACAAGCATATAGAAAATGGATAATTGTACCTTGACATTACACACATACCTGTAAGGAAGCTTCAGGGGTCTTATAAAATAATATCCTGAAAAAACAAATAGGGACCAACATCTGGCATTGAGAACGCAATACCTAACAATAATTGTCTATAACAAGCGGCAGTCTAATCTAGAATTGTAAGAATGTGATGATTACCGTATTGACTAAGAGTTACTCATTTATTTTACGATTCACTCCTTTTTAACGTTCTACAGTGCTCCTACTTAATAGGCGTGATAAGACGATGCAATTAGGTCTCATTACTCTCTCGTCACTCAAATATCTCTCATTCGTCCAAGAGTTGATCAGTGTGTAGTTTCTGGTATCATTTGTCCTTTCCTTTCTGTACCCACATCTCTCTGAGCAGATTTTCTTGTTAACAGGCGGCATTCTATTCGATGCTCCGTATTTATTCATCGAGGCTCGAACAGCGGTAACAGTTCGGCGCGAGATTTAAAGCGGCGCACACCGCCCCAGCCATTGTGCGTCATTGCACTGGGCATTTCACGTCATGCGTGTCGTGTGTGTGTGCGTTTTCGGTGAACATACAAAAGTACACACGTGCAGAGGAACACGCATGCAACGTGTGGAGTCGCGTACTGTCAACAACAAAAATGAACGCTCATATTTGACACGTACCCTTGTCCTTGCCAAGTAGATCATTTTCAAGAGGAAATACAACTCAAACTTTTTTCCACTCGTGGAAAAGATAATTGTGGTGCTGCAGCTGTGTGCATACCCGTGCACATGGCTGTGGTTCACGAGTCCCAGCATGGCTTATTATGGCCCAGTGGCACAGCGCTATGCTGATGTGTCTGCATAGGGTCAATGCATGCACACATGCAAAACAAAGATCCCCCGTGTAGCCTGTGACAGACTGTTGGGGCAAGTGTTGTTAGCGAGCACCTATGAAGGCCGGCACGGCACACGAGGGGGTGGGTGGCCAGCACCACGCCCGGCCGCCTTTGTCTCCCTCGTAGCGATGTTTGCACATGGCACCAGGTACTCATTTGAGGCTGAGTCAACCTATGGGAGGCCCAGGACCGGTTCAGATAATCTTCACGGGTGTTGGCCGTGAACGGGAATCGAACCCACGTCACGGCACACAAGCTGGCAAAATTATTTTATTATGTTTAATTTTTATTATTTTATTATTTCCATTCTACGTGACTTTACCGAAAGAACCAAGAAGAAGAAGCTGGCAAAAGTTGTTAATTTATCTCGCACATGTTGCTGGAGCAATGCTGCTCACGATCATTTCGTAAGAACAACAAACAGGTTTCATCACAACACTCGCAGGCACTATTTCTCTTCCCGGTGTTTGCGTCAGTACACACTGCACGATTAATCATTCCGCACGCGGGTGGCCTAGGAGAGGGTCGCTAGGAATCAAATACAAATTGCCGTACGAATACCAACACACCCGCCATTCGCCACTAAGTGACGGCACCGTCACCACAGTGCCTGTGCCAGGCCAGGTGCACTTTGAGGCCACGTGAAGTGTCGAAGGCTCGCTGACGGGAGGTCACGGGACAGACCCAGTAGGTGCCATGGGTCGGCTGACTGAGATGACCGGTAGATGCACCACCAGCTGTACCCCCCTACTGTGCCAGGCTAGGTGCAGAAGATCTCGGGACAGACCCAGTAGGTGCCATGGGTTGGCTGAGATTACCGGTAGATGCACCAACAGCTGTACCCCCCTACTGTGCCAAGCTAGGTGCAGGAGGTCTCAGGACAGACACAGCAGGTGCCATGGGTCGGCTGACTGAGATGACCGGTAGATGCACCACCAGCTGTACCCCCCTACTGTGCCAGGCTAGGTGCAGGAGATCTCTGGACAGACCCAGTAGATGCCATGGGTTGGCTGACTGAGATGACCGGTAGATGCACCACTAGCTGTACCCCCCTACTGTGCCAGGCTAGGTGCAGGAGATCTCGGGACAGACCCAGTAGGTGCCATGGGTTGGCTGACTGAGATGACCGGTAGATGCACCACCAGCTGTACCCCCCTACTGTGCCAACTCACACCATTTTATCCACCCGGCGCTCCGCTCGTTGTCGTGATTTGCCGTACCACACTTCACACACAGGCAAACCACAAACTTAATGACCACGTGACCTGAATTGGTGCGTGTAAATTAAAACTTTGATGCAAGACCTCCAAGCGAACATTTATGAATACTCTCACGCATCGCGTTGGGTCTGTAGCCAATTCCTACGGCAAGGAGAACAGTCAAACAGGTCTCGAGTTTTTACTTTTTAAAATCGCCAACTCGTATAAATCCACGGCGGCCTAACAAAACACAATGTTGGCATCGACGCTAGAATATTTCAAACCCAGAGAGAATCGCTTTGAAAAAAAAAATGTGAACGTAACAGCTCTATGATGGTGCAAATATGCGTGCAAAAAACTGTTTCGCGTCGTCGCTGGATGCGGTCTATTTACCGGGGTCGTAATTTCCACGGTGTTTGTAGAGCACGGGCGGTTGCAGTTGCCACGTGTGTGTAGATCAGCAGCACGCGTGTGTGTGTGTAGATCAGCACGTGTGTGTGTGTGTAGATCAGCATGTGTGTGTAGATCAACACGTGTGTGTGTGTGTAGATCAGCACGTGTGTGTGTGTGTGTAGATCAACACGTGTGTGTGTGTAGATCAGCAGCACGTGTGTGTGTGTAGATCAGCAGCACGCGTGTGTGTGTAGATCAGCACGTGTGTGTGTGTAGATCAGCAGCACGCGTGTGTGTGTAGATCAGCACGTGTGTGTGTGTAGATCAGTGTGTATAGATCAGTACATACGTGTGTGTGTGTGTAGATCAGTACGTGTGTGTGTAGATCAACACGTGTGTGTGTGTAGATCAACACGTGTGTGTGTGTGTAGATCAGCACGTGTGTGTGTGTGTGTAGATCAGCACGCGTGTGTGTGTGTAGATCAGCACGTGTGTGTGTGTGTAGATCAGCATGCGTGTGTGTGTGTAGATCAGCACGCGTGTGTGTGTGTAGATCAGCACGTGTGTGTGTGTGTAGATCAGCATGCGTGTGTGTGTGTAGATCAGCATGCGTGTGTGTGTGTAGATCAGCATGCGTGTGTGTGTGTAGATCAGCATGCGTGTGTGTGTGTAGATCAGCATGCGTGTGTGTGTGTAGATCAGCATGCGTGTGTGTGCGCGCGCGCGCTCACCCACAGTCAACATCCCGCACAGCGGTCGTTTGGTAATGCTCGGCCTTGCAAGGATTATGCTTTATCCATCTGGATAAGTAACATCTGCAGCTCTATCCTTTCAATTTTCTCAACCCATTCGTTACCCTCCGAGGGCAGTAACTCACTAATCCACAGCTCCACTGCCGTGCGTTGTCTCTTGAGCAGCTGTTGGCTCGATACCGTGATTGACGTAGGCTGTAAAATGTTAAGGATTGCCATTAGAAGGTAAGGGCACACAGATTGTGACATTATGAAAGCAAATTAATGTAATCTGTAACTTGTTTTTAATGAATTTTATCTTAAGTGTAAATGTAGAGTATGATCACACAGCATGGAGTGTATCATTGCATTACATGCCATGGAATGTTCTGCATCAGTGTGTGGGCTAATGGCTGGAAGTTGCTTTTGGGAATTTTGTTGAAAATTTCAAACCACCTTTGTCGTGATGACATGAAAATAGATTTCCTCAGTAAATGTTCACGTTTTTTTTTACCCCGTTATGAATAGGATGGATAGGAAATTGCAAAAACGATTTATATTCTGCTCTGTCATTTACATATGGATATACAGTATTAACGTGGCCTGTTTTTGTTGAAGAATTGGTTCAATGTAATTTCTGCTCCTTTGCTGCGTAGAATTGTCAGCAGTGTAAGCCCTCATTGGAGCTTGACAAATTATTGGTTCTGCGTCCTCAGGCGGAACGACCACTTGTGGTGCAATCGAAACGTCGTGATATATTATTTTTTGTTTTATTTCATTTTTCTACCTACGTGACTTTACCGAAAGAACCAAAGAGTATGGATTCTTGTAGTCACGAAAGCTTCAAATCAAGATTGATTCTAAATGTGGAGGGAAAACGCGGAGGACCCGGATAAAAATCCACACAACCGCGGGGAGAGAAAACATGCAAACTCCAAATATACAGCAGGCGTCAGGATCAGGATGACCTCCTGCGTACCAGGCGTGTGCTACGAAGAAGAAGGGACATTACCCGAGTGCCACCATGGAATGAACCGCGTCTGGGAAGATGTCCACTGAGGTGTTTTAGCAATGAGATTGGCTCGCATGCAGCAGATGCCGCAGTGTTTGTTCATCACAGGATCGCGAGAGGTGGTGGCGGAGGCGGTGGCGGCTTGCGGAGACCTTCATCAAGCAGTGAATTGATCATGACTGACGTTTGATGTGCCCTGTACAGATGAGGAGCTCTGCTCAGGGGTGTACCTGGACTTCATGGGGACGGACGCCACGCTGTTCCGTACGCTCGGCAAGCCGCACTCCCTGCGCACCGATCAGTACAACTCGCGCTGGCTCAACGGTACGTCCGCGTCGGGGCCGGGGTTCCGCGCATAGCTCTCCTCGCGGTCAACGCCGAAATAATCTCCGTGCCACACCGTGCAGTAGATGATGCCCCGGGAGTGGGGGCGGGGGGGATGGAGAACGTGCTGGTCGGCAGTAATCCGTGAGTCCGTGCATAGCAGTTGAGTGTCCAGTACGTCGCGTGTGTGCGTGCGTTAGCAGACCGCACTGCGAACCCAGCGAGCCCGAGTTTGTTACCCACTACGGCTAACATCAGTGGTGATTATCTGAACTGGCCTTCAATCAGTTACTGTGATACGGTGTGCGAACATCAGCACTGTGGTGAGACAAATGTGGTCGGGTGTGGCGCCGGCCACACTGGGCCTCCGTGCCAGCCCCTGCATAGGGTGCTCTAGCCCAGCACTTGCCCCAACAGCAGCCTGCGTAGTCTACGTGGGGACTTCGTGTGAATGCGAGGAAAGTTGACGGGGTGATGATCGCGCGGCGCGGTGGCGGATTCTGTCGTGCAGAGCCCGTCTTCCTGGACATGCACATGATCCCGGACAGCGGCGACCGCAACGACGACAAGCTCTACTTCTTCTTCCGAGAGAAGGCCACGGAATCTGGCAACCAGAAGTCTGTCTACGCGCGCATCGGCCGCGTCTGCATTGTGCGTACAGCCCAAAGGATGTTTTTACTCGAATGCTGATTTTGCGCATTATATGTATTGTTATCTCGTTATTTTTTATGATTTACTTACGCATGCGTACGCAGGAAAGCCTCATCGAGTCTCATGATTCTTTTTTTTTAGGAGGGTCCTTTCAGATTTTTACTGTCGGGGGGTGATGCCGATGTTATAATTTTGGGTGAGGCGACTGAACGATCGGGCCAAATTTATGTCATAAGACCCTCCACCACCCGACCGACCATAGCCAAACAAATTAAATTGTCGCGCGATGTACAGACGCTTAACGTGCTCTCCCCCCCCTTCACTAAGCTGCACTGACCACCATGGTGAAGTATGGTTAAACAACCCCCACAACCAGCTTTGCATGGGGAGGAGTTCATTCGGCAGTGACAAGGGGCAGTAACTTATTATCTCCATGAAATATTTAAATGGCGCGTCCAAATAAGATTGGCTATTGATAAATTCAAATTGGGGTTCTGACCTTGGTTCATCTCGTCGTCTTTCACGGGTGAGCACCGGCACTCGCGTGCTGTGAGTTGCCGGCAGTTGTTGTCATGGGGCTCATTCAATGTTTGTAATGACCTAGGGGGGTGGAGAACACGGTGGAAGATTCTAAAAGCCCGTGACCTCGGAGTCAATTTGGCGCTGAATAATTGAGACGCTTTTTGACGTTTAATATCAACGTGCTGACGGGGTGCTGATTTCTTAACTTATTCATCACGTGCATCGCCAAGGTCCAGTCCTTCTGAGACCATCCCTCTGCCTGCCACACTGGCACCGCACCCCCCCGCCCCGCGCTCACCCTTCGTCCTGCCGATGGTGGGCCCATGGGCCGCACGTTTTGATGAAAGGGGAAGAAGCATCAATATTTAATCAGTTCATATATGCGGTACATGCACAATGTAAAAATGAATGCCCCTTCTACAGCGCAAGTACGAAACCACACCACCCTCTTGGCTACATTCTCTAGAGATTAACGTAATTTTTTTAGTTTAACACGTAGGCTTCTCGATCAATATCATCCGTAATATAGTTGTTTGGGGAGTTAGATCGTGTAGATTTACGCAAAAATGTACGTAAATTTACGTAAATATTTAGGCAGTCTAACCCAAAAAACCTATATTTTGGATGATATTGGTCGCGAAAGCCTACATGTTAAACTAAAAAAGATACGTTCATCCCTAGAGAATTTAGCCAAGAGGGTCGTGTGTATTTATACAATCTAACTAAAAAAAAACTATATAATGGATAATTGTTGTTACATATAAAAAAAATATGCAACAATCCTTCAAATATAAGGAGTATTTATATCTACACTGTTTAATAAATATCCTGAAGCAGAAGGTTGGTGCTTCATATGGTCACATTTGCAAATGTGATTAGTAACTTTGATGCTTACCTGTGAGTGGGCCATTGTATTGAGGGGCTACTGTTGTGTGCTGTTATCTTGGTGTGGGCTGGGGCTGTTGTTGTTTTTGCTGCCTTGCCCAATCTTGATAAATGCGACTTAGAAATTATGTTTTATCCATTTATGTTAAATGACTTCCCTTTTTCTCTGGTTTGCACTCCTATCGTTTTGTTGTATTGTTCGCTGATGCAACTTGCTGACTCCGCGCCTATACTGGACATCTGTTTACAAAGAGCTTCACAGCTCATCGGATTTTTTGTTTCAATGCCACGAGTCGCAAGTAGCCAAACAGAGGGCTGGTCAAACAAGCAGGGCGACGATGTCATCAATTATCAGAGACGCTTGTAGCTACGTGCCGGCAGGGCGGAGGATGCGAGAGAGACGTTGCGCGTGACCGACCGCTGCCGCTGCTGCCATTGTTGTCTTTGTCCGCCCGCTCTCAGAATGACATGGGCGGCCAGCGGAGTCTGGTGAACAAGTGGAGCACCTTCCTGAAGGCCCGGCTCGTGTGCTCCGTGACGGGCGCCGACGGCATCGAGACTCACTTCGACGAGCTGCGTGAGTTCCTCCTCCCGCCTCTCGCGTCCCCGTTCGGCCGCTCGCAAATCACCTGGCCCATCGGCCAGGCCATGAATAAATCATCCCTTCATTACAAACAGCTGGGGCCCAAATGGGGACTAGGTTATATACCTTGCTTTTTGTTTGCGGACAATTGGAACGTAAGATACTAGTATAAAAAAAATAGTAGGCAGATATGGGAAAACGTAAATAATGTCTAATGATAAAATAGACAGTGAGATTATATACTGTCCTGGGCATGTCATGATTTTCCCCACTGGGGATTCGAAAAATTGTTTCCATATTAGCTAGCGATTCGATTAAACAATCGATTTATATTTTGCCACTTTTACAAACGTAGCATTGTTCGTGGCAAAGGGCTCAACCCTGTGCCACATGTCTTCAAAGTCCGTAGCATCATGTTCAGAAATATTTACGCTGCTACGGACCAGCACGCTTCCCACGTGAGCATTCACTTATATTCCAACGCGTTTGTTCATGGAGCAGCTTGGACGGTTTGTAAATTGGTCTCTTGCCATTTGGCCTGGGTCACCGGGCAGGAAGTAGCACGCCAGGCGAGCGGACACATCGCGGCCGCGCGCTCGCCGTCCAGAGGGCGCTGGTGCGAGGTTCGTAAACGCTCCACCGTGCGGAGCAGCCGCCTGTGCCAAATGGACGGTCTATTTCCAGAGTTACGTCAACGGAGATTTGCATTGCTTCACTGAACGGGGGAGCTATTATTTCTTTTAAACTCAAATAGTGCGCATTGCTCAATCGCACGCGCAAATCTCGTGTACGTGTTCCTTTGTTCGTTTGTTTATTTATACCGCGGCTTTTGCAGGCAAAGCGTTAACCGAGCGTGCAATATCGCGCATCACACGCATCGTGCAATGTGAACCCCGGTGCTCGCCGTGCGCTTTGCTTGAATGAGAAAGCGACGTGAACCACGGCGCTTGATCGTCTGCAACACTCACCGGCGGCACCTGTCATAACACGAAGCCGCTCGACATTGGAATTCCCCTCCCATCGCCTCTCGTCTCGGGCTGTTGTGACCTTGCTCGGTTCAAGTGACGCGTTACACTCGTATCTGTTGCAACTTTGACAACAGTGCTGTTTGTTGCTGACCGCTTGCTGTCTTGGGCATGTGCTCGGCAAGCTGTGTCAAGGAAATGCTGAGAGATGCTCTTTTTCAGGTTTATACGGTCAAGCAAATGCTATTCGGTGTTTCCCTCTTGAATTAAGCAGGTGTCACAGTTTAATGTGTGCTTGTGCTATTGCAGAGGACATATTTGTCTTAAAGACGGAAGAAGTGAGAAACCCTTTGATCTACGGAGTGTTTAGCACCACCGGGTGAGTGTGCTGGCCTATATAATGATGGCCTTGACACACACACACCACTCACCAGCACCTCACCACCAACCCATCGCTTAACGAGCTGCTCCATCTTGCAAAATCTGCCGTAAGCGCATACGACTGCCGTTAGATGTCCTCGTGGATTCAATCCTCTCCCCTGTCCACAAAAATCATAATCCGTGGTCAATCCACTGCTGGATGTAGTCTTCCCAAGCTGTCTCCATCTCTCGTGATCCCGTGATGTAAATGAAGATCCACCGAGCACCTGCACGCTGCCCCATGCTGTGCATTTTTCAAAACGGTAGCCAGGAAACTGCACTGTTCTCGTGGAGTCGCACATCAGAGCTCCAACCCCGCAGTTAGAACATTCTGGAAAATATCAACATCCGCACTCGGAAATGACTCTCGGGTCTCAAGTAATATCGGTCTCGCTGGCCGGCGCAGCTCGTACGTCGCCAGCGAGAGGGGAAAGTAGTACGGACCTCGACCGCACGCGTCGCGTGCCGCCGCGTCGCGCTCGGGAGTGGTCACGAGCAGCGGCGCCCGCACGTGTCGCGTGTCTGCCACAGGTCGGTGTTCCGGGGCTCGGCCGTGTGCGTGTACAACATGGCAGACATCCGCATGGTGTTCAATGGGCCCTTTGCCCACAAGGAAGGACCCAACTACCAGTGGGTCCCGTACCAGGGCAAGATCCCGTACCCACGGCCCGGCACTGTGAGTAGCAAAGCGCGGTGCGAGCGCGAGCGTGCGTGTGTTGCCGTGCTCCGGTGTTTACGCCACGTCCCTCTGACTCCCTCCCCTACCCATGGGCAAACCGGGTCGCCATCTCCTGGCTTGGCCAGGGTATGGCAGTACAACAAGTGGGTTCATTTCCTTCTTCTGGACGGGGATTGAGGGCTATTCTCTACCCCCCATTCGCCCCCCGTGGGTTTTCCTGCGGATATTTATGTATTTTGCTCACGTTTTGTGCGCCATATCTCTTGATTTTTGTTGCTATTATTTAATTTGAGTCTTCCACCGCCACAGGTGAAGGGCCCTCGGTTTCAAATGTAGATTGGCCTCCTCTGGGTACACACGGAGCATCGGTGCTTCACTGCCGAGTGCGCATTCTGACTCCCTTCACGCAAAGCCAAGCCACCCCTCTGCACCAATGTTGAACTTTTTAATTTTACGATATCTCAGTTTGTTTTGTTTAACCAGGATAAACACAACCTGGGTCACCAACAGTATGAAAGCGAAACAAACAAAGTAAAACATAGCATTTAGGTACGGAAATAACAAGTGAAATCATTCTAACACGAGTATTATTATTAAGATTCTATCAATAGCAATAATAATAACAATAATAATACGTTAAAAATGGACAGTTCATCCAAATTCCAGTTTTTTTTGCTTGGTAGTAAACCTAACCTGCCCATAATAGATGTTTTTTTTGGGTTAGATCGCGTAAATATATAAATGTGTCGTTAAACCCGCCACCACCCAACACCCAATTAGTAATTAGCGATCTAACCAAATAAAACCTGTATTGTGGATGATATTGGTCGCGAAAGCCTTCGTGTTAAACTAACCTGCCCATCTTTGCACTTATAACGTTTAAATAATAATACGTTTACAGTATTATCATGAGCATGGTAATTGTTGTTATTACTGGTACTGTGGTGAACGAAGTCAGCAAAGGACGTCTTCGTGGTTCAGGGCCCCTCTCCTACGGGATCTGTTGGTGCAGCGTGCTCCCAGTCGCACCTTGAGACCAGCCACAGTGCAGCCACGAAGGGCAGAGCACCGCTGGGAATGAAGGCGTAGCCTTCCAGTCAAATACAAATTGATACTCGCATTTGCTTTTCAGTTAGCTGGACTGATAGTCCAAGAGTTGTTCGTGTAAGGAGCACTGCGATGCTGTGCACGAAGAGAACTACGTAAAAGAGAACGTGTGTACGGTGGTAAAAACTAAAAATATTATTAATGCATTTACGTAAGAACTCACGACCCCGATACAGCCAGTCGCGAGTTGGAAGATTTCCCGTGGTATGAAGCCGACCCCGACGCGACTGAGCTGCATACCGGAAGGAGGGGTGACGGGGTAGGACCCGCTGCATACGACGGCACTTAACGAGGTTCGAATTTAGTCGCTGACGTTCGGGCGTTTCTCCGTGCGCTTGGCAGTGTCCCGGCGGCACGTTCACGCCCTTCATGAAGTCCACCAAGGAATTCCCGGACGACGTCGTGAGCTTCATCCAGACGCACCCCACCATGTTCAACCCCGTGCAGTCGATCCACAAGCAGCCCATCATCGTGCGCACAAACATCCCCTACAAGTTCACGCGCATCGCCGTCGACCAGGTGGACGCGGCCGACGGGCGCTACGACATCGTCTTCCTCGGCACGGGTTCGTCTCGCGTACCTTCCATCCCACTCGGGGGGAGCAGCGCTGAGGCTACGTCCTTTTTCTTTCGCTCTCTCTCTCGCTCTCTTGCTGTCTTTCTCGCTCTTTCGCTCTCTCTCTCGCTCTCTCGCTGTCTCTCACCCTCTTGCTCTCTCTCACTTTGTCGCTCTCTCTCACTCTCTCGCTTTCACGCTCTCTCGCTCTCTCTCTCGCTCTCTCTCTCGGTCTCTCTCTCGCTTTCTCGCTCTCTCTTTCTCGCTTACTCTCACGCGTCCCGTTTTGCGAGCCCCGAGCCGTAAATCCCGAGTACGCATCGTGGAGGCGAGTCTATCCGTAGGGACAGACCGCTGTTGACTTCCCCACGAAGGTTGGAGTGCCGATTTGATCGACCAGAAAGGAACGATGAGCCGAGTCAACCCCCCCCCCCCCCCAAACGGGATTTCATCTCGCAACCTTCCCCGTTGCGAGCCACCCAGATGTTGTGGTGGAGGAGCTACGGTGTTTGCAGACTACCACGCAATTGCACACGCCGGTGCCAAAAGATGAATATTCAACCTGCAACCAGGATTACAAAACCGACTTCCAAGCAGTGTTAACGTAGTCAATGTATTGTTTATTTTAGGTTGTCTTAGTTTAGCCTTACTCACAGCAGTCTATCGTTTAGTTGACTGAGTAAATGTCTGAATGGGTGTGTAAGGAGTGTGCAATCCTCCCCACCCACTACGTTATGGGGTCAGCCAATAGGTAAACTCGGTAAAAACTGCATGCACATAGAGACAACTTTCATCATTGCTCTTCCAAAGTGCACTGCAGTCTCTTTATGATGTTGTTAAATGAGTTCAGTCTGCGTCCTACATTCAGCCTCGTGTGTTTAGTTTTGTGACAGTTGGTCGATCATTCTTTGGTTGACAGCAGTCGGTAGTTATCGTTACCCTTAATGATTTTGTCCGCTTCTGATCGTCGTTGACGAAAATAAATGAAACACTTCAAATGACGAACATTTCCATCAGTCATTCTGCTGACGCAATGAACGTGGCTGCGAAATTGGATATTTTTTCAAGACTAAATATCTTCTCAGGCTTGACCGCCGGCGATGGCACTGAACAGCGATAATGACGATGATGGTGATGAGGGGTCCCGTCTCCAGCGCTTAGAAGTGATGTGCGCGTGGACGGCATCGCTGTTTTGTCTTTTCTCCTCTAGATCTTGGAACGGTGCAGAAGCTGATCGTCCTTCCCAAAGACGACGCCGAGAGCAAGGAGGAGATCGTGCTGGAGGAGCTCCAGGTGTTCCAGGTGCGGCCACGTCCCAACACTTTCCGATCACGCAGATTGAAAACTCTTTTCTGTAGAGCTGCTTTTTGTGCCGAGTTGGTTTTCCTCCCCCACCCCCCGCACCTCCGATTACCACGGTTGGCTACGTACGGTATGAAAGAAGGTCAACATACATTCGTACAGCACACATGCTATGCGTCGGCTGTTAAACATTCACAATTACTCCAGAGTACATTTGCTTTAACATGTTCATTGTGCCTCTTCCAGGATCCAGTGCCGATCTTATCAATGAAGATCTCATCCAAAAGAGTAAGTGTATCAGGCATCTTGAATGATTTCACCAAGACTTGAAGGTTGTCCGCTTGTGATCGCGGGGTTAATCCTCAATGCATCTAAATCTAATCCAGTCGTTTAGCTTAATCCACAACACTGGAATGCATTTAGTTTACAGACCCACTTATCTTACGCTCACACCACTCCATCACGTCCGTGCGCGGTTATCTCTCCTCCAGCGAGCCTCCTCGTGTGTTCTCCGCCACCGCTGTACGCCATGCTGAGCCCCCCTCTCCGCGTGCGCGCCCCTTGACCCCCGCAGCAACAGCTGTACGTGAGCTCGGCCGTGGGCGTGACGCAGCTGCCGCTGCACCGCTGCGGCGTGTACGGCAAGGCGTGCGCCGACTGCTGTCTGGCGAGGGACCCCTACTGCGCCTGGGACGGCAAGCAGTGCTCCAAGTACTTCCCCACCGCCAAGAGGTGCGCTACCGTCACAGTTACCGCCGCCGCCACGGCGGCAGCAGCAGCGCTCGTCGCTGCTGCTGGCCCTCCTGTTGTCAATTTCGTCGCGCGTCAAAACCTTTTCATTTTATTACCCTGGTGAGGCCCACTGAGCTACGTTAGCTGTTTTTCAGAAGCCGCCACCTGGCTATCAGAAATGATGGCTCAACGAGGTGGATTACCGTCGCGTGGGAATTAAATGGTTGCGGCCGAATATTCTGAACACGTGACGTTGATTCTGAACGTGGATGGAAAAACTGGAGGACCCGGAGAAAAATCCACGCGGCCACGGGGAGAGCATGCAAACTCCAAATATACGGGCGTCAGGGTCGGGGTCGCACCCCCACGACCTCCTGTACACCAGGCGAGGTCGTTAACATCTCACCACCCTGGCGCATCGCTTGATGTCGCACCTCACACGAGCGTTCAGCGCTTCCCGAAGAATTAGGAAGCGCAATGGAACCGAGCCCTGCACGGAGGGAGCTGCTGCGGGTTGCGATGGTTGTTGCGCTGGACTCGCAATCAAATGCCCCCTCGAGCGTGTTCTGGTTTAGGCCCTTGAGTTTGCAGTGGCGTGAGCAAGCGGTTGCAGCGCTGCGCATTTACCTTTGTCGCACGCACATAGCGCGCATCGACTGAGAATTCTCTGTGGAGGAATGGAGCAATCGGGCAATCGTCGACCAGCGTTCATTCGTATTCACCCATCACAAAACTAGTCCTTTAAAATCATGTTCTGTAAACGTGCCTTCTTCAACGATATCGCTGCGGACCGCAGCGCGTGTTGTTCAGCGCGATGGCCGATGTTTTGCTCCCGTGTGCTGCGAGCTTCGTGTGTCCGCGGCGCTGCACACGTGTGCGTTATAAATCGGACTTCCTCTACCCGAGGCAGCAGTTTTAACGGCCAGAATGATAATCTATATACAAGAAGAGCAAAAACGTAATGGCAATCCCAGCACTCTGCGCATGCCAAGATGGCATCACCGTTCTTGTGATGGCCATGCTGCTCAGAGCCCGGTTATGATGGGTCGCCGCGTTGGCTCTGAGATGTTAACTACCTCGCCTGGTATGCAGGAGGTCGTGGGTTCGATCCCGACCCTGACGCCTGCTGTATATTTGGAGTTTGCATGCTCTCACCGTGGTCGCGTGGATTTTTCTCCGGGTCCTCCGGTTTTTCCTCCACATTTATAAATGTGCGTTTAGAGTATTTGCCGGCAAAACATTTCCACACGATCAGCCACTTCATTGAGCTATCGTTTGTAAAAGCCAAGTCGCTCGTGAAATAGAGCTATACAGCTCGGTAGGCCTTACCGGGTAAAATAAAAAATAGCTTAGTTTTTTAGTTTATGCTTGGGGCTGCTTAAGAAACCTCATTTACTGATAATCACCGAGTACCATTTCACCGAAAAGTTTTCTTTTGAATGCTCTTAATCCTTAAACACTTTGTGAATCTGACACGGCTATTAATAGTTCTGTTATGTTATAGAGAGGTCGTCGTAAATGTCCTAACTTGACAGTCCACGTGGCATATTATTAATTGGAGTTTGAACAGTGTGTTGTGAAAATGTTCTACTTTTAAATACCAATTATCATAAATGTCTACGCCCAACTTTTTCATGCAATGATTTAATCCGTTTGGTTCTGGATGGAATTCGCATTGTCACAGTATAGCACACCATGTACATGTGCCTGAAATTAATTTGCGTCTGAAGTTGAGCTGCGCTCTGCAATAATACGGATTCCACACAGGAGGGCGCACGTGTCCCACGTAGCCACCGTGTGTCCGCTCAACTCGCCTCCTGTCACGTGACCTCCTGCTGTCTGTCGTGTGATCTCCTCCTCCTGTATGTTGTGTGATCTGCTGCCTGCCGAGTGATTTCTGCTGCCGTGTGACCTCCTGCTGTCTGTCTCGTGACCTCCTGCTGTCTGTCTCGTGACCTCCTGCTGTCTGTCTCGTGACCTCCTGCTGTCTGCCGCGTGACCTCCTGCTGTCTGCCGCGTGACCTCCTGCTGTCTGTCTCGTGACCTCCTGCTGTCTGTCGTGTGACCTCACAGACGCAGCCGCAGGCAGGACATCCGGCACGGGAATCCCGTCACACAGTGCCGTGGCTTCAATGGGAACCGTGAGTTACTGCTTCTACCCCTGAGGCATGACCAGATATTTTTGAAGGAGATATGTCCAAAGTGAAACTTTATAGTCATCGTGGAGTTAAATGGCGAGGACTTTTACACACAATGCCTGAGCCTCCTAGGCACAGGCAAGTCGTCTCTGGGCTCGGTATTAATATGACGATGAGCAGTGTCTATTTTGTTTCACTGACTGTGCTCTTCACGTGAAAGGCCATTGAGACTGCGTCAGCCACGTTAACATTTCTCCCATGGAGACATCGGCAAATCAAAGGTGACACTGATTATATTATTCGTTAAAATGTGACGAGAGCCCCATATTTCTTGCAAGGAACACCTGTACAGCAGTAGCTCTCACGCTTCAGGTGGTGTTATATTTTATCTGCAGGCAATTTCTGAACCCTTGTGTTAGCTTTAACAAATAAAAGGCCACCTCTTGTATTGGATGTCACAGGTTCTTTTGCATCTAAACGCAGCAGACGTTTTACATTGGTAGATCTCCCATGGCATGCACAGCCTATGTATACTGTGAACATCTTGTTCAGTAAAATCGCGTAGAAAATATTTTACTTATCCAAATGCCTTGATTGGAATTATCGATTTGTAAATACAGCACGCTTTGTTAATGTGATAACTTATCCTATTTTCTGGTGAAAGTATCAGGGAAATCTAGAAATGCCTGATATGGAATCCACGGAGGCAATGTTAGCATTATGCGGAGTGACATTGTTTGTGAATATTTAACCATTATTTGGAGAAAGAGATTGAAATGTACATCAATTTGTTATTTTAAAGCAAGAAAGGATTGGCACCAAACCTTGTTTTGTATATGAATTACCTCTGATAATAGTATTTATATTGTGCAAAACTATTTCAGGATTTTAAATACCAAGTTAATCTTAACTCGAACCCTATTCGATGTCATTGGTTGCTTTCTAAACTGTACATGTGTGCTGCTACCTACTCGCAGCTCACCTGTGCATTCTCATTCTTCGTGAGCGGAGGCGCGATATCTAGTCTTCAGATGACGATCACTACACACAAAGTGCCCTCCACAAATGAGCTACAATACCTTCCTAATCTCATCAAGGAGCATAAACCACCACGCAAACTCCGCTCATCCTCGCAGAGGCTTTGAGCTAACCGTCGAACAAAGGCGGTCACCGCATCGATCGCTTTCAGATGCCCTTCTGCGACCGTCTGGAATGCTCTTCCTCCCGATATTAGGAAGCCAGTGGAGCAGTGCACTTTTAAGTCACCCTCGAGATTGAAAGCTCATTTCTTGAGAACTGCTTTTTGTGTTTAGTTTGTTGTCCTTCCCCCCGCACCCCCGATCAGCGCGGTTGGCTCCGTATGGCGCGGAAGAATCTCGACATGCGCACACACACGCGTGACGCTGCTGATGTCTGTGCAGTGTACAAGCGGCTGCCGGAAGTGGTCCAGTTCGCCGTGGAGGGCAGCAGCACCTTCATGGAGTGCGGCGCTCGCTCTCCTCAAGCCGCCGTCAAGTGGCTGGTGCAGCGCCTCGACAGCGATCGCCGCAAGGAGGTGACGACGCCACTTGCCCTCCGGTTCCCCTCGTGCGACGCGCGCCGCACCCGCTGGTGGCGCTGCACGCCTGCGATTAGCGTGGTTGGCTCTGTACGGTGCGAAAGAAGTTCGACATACGTATACGCCGGCGGTCTACGCCGGTGGTGCTGCACAGCTGCAATCCACGCGGCGTGGAGGATTGGCGGATCGCACCGAGTCTGCACGAGCAGTGTCACAGCCAGGATTAGGAAACTGGACGACATGGGGCATTTTTTCGAACCGCGAGCTTCGAATTCCAATTGAGATTTGAGCAACGCATGTTGCCAAAGAGGTGCCCATTGTGCTTTTCGAGCCTTTCATCACCAATGGTATCGCCATTGCGAGCTCTAGAAACGTTATTCGTTGATGGAGTGATGCATACTTCCTATCAATCCACACGGCGACTTAGTTACTCATTCACACAGCCTCCTTTTTTGGACATATATGCAGAGCAGTTGAGACGGTAAAATAGCCACTGGTTTTCTAAATATTCTCAATTACTAAATGACTGTGAAAATAATCGAACTGGATTTTAGATTCTTCTCAAAATAATTTCAGGACTACACAAAAATCCGTCCAAAAAATGTTGCATCTGAACATTCGGCTCGGGCGTTGCAACTGCGGCACGCGTAGCCGTGAGCTGCCTGCCGAGAGGGGGCGGGGGGGGGGGCCTCTGAGGCCGCGAGGGAAGCTCGTGGGTGAAGAGTCTCGCCGTGGGGGACGCTTCTTTATCGCGCGGTCCATCGTTTCTACCCCCCACCCCCGACGTCAGTAATTGACAGTAGGATCAACGGCGAGAGCCGGGGTGAGACGCGTATAGAAAAGGATGGCTTAGTTTGAATGATCACGCCGTCACTGGTGTCCAGACAGCCCAGAGAACTCGATATTTGGCAGCAAGTTGTAATTTCAACCCCTCCGCCATTACACGTCCATTCTTTAAAACCGTCCGCTGACCACACCTGCCTCGAGGAATTTGAAAAATGCGTCGCATATCGCTTACTCTGGCGACGGAGAGCCACGAGCTGGACACAGTCGGTCTGTCCGTGTCAGCCGATGCTTATTAAGCAATATACATCTGTCGATGAGTTTATGTAGAAATATTAATTCCGTTTGTCCCATTACCAGTACAATTGGCTGTTCTCTATGGCTGCGAAACCGGGCTCGAGAGCGTGCGATCACTTTCCATCCTTGCCCTCCCCTCCCCCCGCCGCCGTTGACAGGTGAAGCCAAACGAGCGGTTGGCTCGAACCGAACACGGCCTGCTGATCCGAGCGGTGCAGCGCTCCGACGCGGGCATGTACCACTGCCTGGCCACGGAGAACGGCTTCCGTCACACCCTGGGCCGCTACACCGTGCGCGTGCTGGACAGCGGCCTGGTCGGCGGGCTGCTCACGGGGGCCGCCGTTGGCACCGACCCCAGCGGCACCCCCCTGAGTCAGCAGAGCCCCGCGCAGAAGCAGGCCTACAAGGAGCTGATGGAGCTGCTGGGCCAGTCACGATCGAGCCAGTCCGGATACCAGTGCCCCGGCACGCACCAGCCCACGCCGCAGGCCAAGCAGCAGCAGCAGCCGGCGGCGGCGCCGCCACCGCCGGCGCCGTTAGCGCAGCGGCAGCCGCAAGCGCAGCCGCAAGCGCAGCCGCAAGCGCAGCCGCAGAGCCACAAGCCGAAGGCGGCACCCAACCCGACTGCCACCAAGCACAAGCCGGCGTCCAAGGAAGAGTTGAAGCTGCGGAACCGACGCAACCCACATGCAGTTGCTGCAGGCTAGAGGGGATCCCGCGGGACCCCTCGTGTGTAACGCTTCTTCACTTTTTGTTGCCAAATGTTCTCGTTTTTGTTGCTCGTTCATTACAGACTCCCCTACAACAACAACATCAAAAGAGGTTGGTTTTGGTTTTCTGGGTAGAAGCGCTGCGGCCTGGCTGTCGTGGCCCGCACGTCTCGGCAGTTTCCCCGAGACTCGAGATGCTAACTTTACAGACGTCACGTGCACCCCACTGCGGCGGACGACAGTCCTCTGCTCCGGTGTCGGTGCGAGCGCCGTTGGAATTGCGAAGCATCACGAAGGCGCCACGTTAAGATTCTCCACTCGCGCTTTTGTTGTATTTTTTTCAGAGTGCTAGCAATTATAGCTGCCTTGCACCATTAAGCTTACAAGCCTCCCCATTCACGTACCATCAGGAAGAGACGGGCTGAGCATTCGGTGCTGCTCCTGTCTGCGGCCAAAGCATTACACTTCTACTAATTCAGTATTTAATAGAGGCTGTATATAGTGTGATTTATTTTTTGTGGGTGTGTTTGTTTCTGTTATTTTATATATATATTCTCACTAGTTCCTGCTGTCAGAAGGTTTGGTTAATGTGTACAATATTGCAGAGAGTATAGGGCCAAGCTTTTAAGAGTTTTTTTATATATATATTTCTAATTTAAGAGCATTATACAAATGTACTTATATTGATAAGAACCCCCTTCTTAGACAGTAGAGCTCTCTGGAAAGCATGAAATAAACCGGATTTTTGTTTAAAATAAAACTGTGAAAAACTCAATCTCGAAATCACACAACCTTAATAAAATTGTTGGCGCTCTATAGCAGCAGCTGTTCAAAATCAGAGCCCTCTATTGTGCAGACAAGAAACCCTTCGAGTAAGAGGGAGTGTGAACTGCAAGGTTCCATTTGTGGGATTTGTACAGAGGACGCAATATTGCATGAAGACAAGACGAGCGGGGAGCGTGTGTGAAACGTGCAGTCTTTTTAGCTGAGGAAATGTGGTTACGATTCACGAGGGCAGCTCCACGTTTGCTTTCCAAGCGATCGTGGGAGCCTTGGTGAGACGTTAGCTTTAGACTGGGATAGTTGGACCAGATCTAGACAAACTATATCTTATTTTCACATACGATGCTTCATCAACACCATTCTTAGGGGGGGGGGCGTATTTCACTCGGTAACCAGACCATACGCCAGCTCTGTTGCTAATGTGAATGGGTTAACAACTTCTTACTGCGTGATAGACACCCGTTTAGGCGGTGCACAGTTTAATGAAATCAAAGGTTGCAAGAAAAAAGGATAGAAATGGTCATGTGTGTAAGACAGTTGTTTGGAATTGCAGTAACAGTGCAACGGGAACAAGCAGGCTCAGCGTGATCGTTAAAGAACCATGTGTTTTGTCATTTAGATTCATAACATTGTCATTAGACGTTTTTATAAAGGATGAATATGTTGCTGTGGGTAAGGAATAGGGACGAGTTTGTAGTGTGATCGCTGTGTGAGCTTTCAATGACGTCCCGGTCAAATCATGTTGTCCCACACATCGGCAGTTGATCCATTATCAAAAATAACTCTAAATATATCGAACGAAACACATTTTTACCGACGTGACTACACAAGTTACCGATGGATTGTAGATAACATGGAATAAGCTGTTACGATTGTATGTGTTTTTTTATTACGAGTAGCAACAATAAAGCTGTAATGTGTCGAATACAATTTTGCTATTAACATTTTTACACGTGGGAGTACGGGGTTGTGTTAAGTGCAGCAAGTTCTGCTGATATTGTCCACGATTTTTCGACTCAGGTGGCATGTGGTTACAAAATAAGCGAGGTCAATGACGTTGGGTAAGATGTACGCGTTGAGAGAAGATCGGCCTAGACTCGGGCCCCTGTCAAGTGCCCTGCCCTGCAGCCTGGAGGATTCACTAAGGGGGCAGCGTTGGCACCAGCGGTCGGTGCACTGCGCCACCACCCAGCCCGCCTCACTTTAGATTCCTGGTCACGGCTCAACTTAGCGGCGAGCGATATCCGTGCGCCCCCTTCCACCAACCCGCAGCTCGCCGGCGTGGTGAAGTCCCGTCTCACGAACCCCGCCATTGACACGGCGTGCAGCGAGGCCTTCAGCCATGAGTGCAATGACAGGGGGGGGGGGGGCCTGTACGTTGTTGTTAATCGTTTGTTTTTCTATCGATACAAATGGAGAGGGCTGTATGATGGCCGGTGGTGTATTGCTGTTCCCTAGTAAACAATAGTGTGCTTCATTACAGGTGTCTGTAACGAGCGTTCGCAGATGTCTGCACACGTGTGACGCTTATTTGTGTATTTTAGCTCTGCGCAGTACATTATCAACTGGAATTATGATGCGGTACCTTTATACGACAGCTTTTATCATTTGAGTTCATAACAATTCAAATAAGCAGCACCATCATTCAAGTTATTGATAACGGAGCAATATATGAAATTAAAGTATATCACATTTTCAGTTAAGAAACGTGAATCAGATGTTATATTTGTGTTGTATTATCAAGTATGTGGATGATGTATCTTTAATTACTTAATACTTTCAGCTGACAGTACATCTTACTCCAAAAACCATATTACTGCGTGCTGTTAAAATATGTTGAATTTCCTAAAGCAGGACTACCTAAGAAAGACAAGCTTATGGCAGAGACACATTGATCACTGGAAGCAATGCCACTTTAAACTGTGCCTGACGTGCATGCGTAATTGTCATCAACCGCAGTGGATAACGAAGGGAATGCTCGGAGTAGTTTATGTGAGGCGCTATCTCCGAGCCAGTGAGAGGCATTTCTAGAAGCTCTGCTAACATGTTTGGAGATCCTACAGTTTGCCCAAACCCATAAAATACAATACTACAGTATTTACAGTAGTTACAAATCCTCTAAATATGACTGCAGCCAATCCAATCAGTGTGTGATCATAATATGCTTAGGTCTCTATGTTCAATGTCTTGTATACATTTATGATAAATAAAAACCACGTTATTTGATGCATCGAATGTCATGGAATTGGCATCGTTACTCTGAAAAGTTCCATGTCTCTGGGCCTCATTCGCTCCATGAACTACCAGAGCTACCTGCCCACCAACACCTGAGCGTCGCAGCTTTTGGCCCCAATATGCTTCCACGTATTACCTGGTGCCCTTTTTAGTTCTCTCTCTCTCACTTGGCGAGGTCGAGCTCCGTACGGTGTTACGAGGGTGCAGCACAGATACGCCGCTGCTCGCTGCGCACGATGCCGCAAATCAGTTTTGTTTATGAGATGTCCCCACTCGGGATTTTGAATTCTCCATTGTGGCAGTTCACCTAGCCAGCGTGCGCACGTGAATGCAGCTGTTACCGTCTGCGGAGGTCAAGAACGTGTAGAGAGCACCGCCGTGACCGCAGTGCCCGCGCGCTCTCCCTCTGGTTCAAGGGGCTGGTGGGGGGGGGGTGCAATCCCTTTGTCAATATTGGATTCTCCTTAAACAAACATCAACGCCGCCGCACTTCGGGAAACTGCAGCGAGTGCACAGATGCCACTGTAAAGGCGACACGGGTGTGCAGGGTGATTCATTAACACATACCCCGCTCGTATGTAATAGGGAGAAAGTATACGATTGTAGACTGCGATTGAGGGCTGGCATTTTGTGCGAGCAGACACATCATCAGTTCCTTTACGAGCTTTGCGCTGTTCACTTTTTTAATGGGAATTAGAAACTAAATTTGCGTGAGAGCCACCGACCCACGAATCTCCCTCCACCCGTGCTTACCACCCCACCACCACCACCAACACCTTCCTTCGCCGTTTCTGTAAAAAAAAAAACACGGAGCCATCTCTTTAACAGCATCCCTTCAACCCGCCTGCCGAGACGAGAGGAAGAGTCGAGGGGAGGAGGAGGGGGGAGGGGCTATTGAGAAACCAGTGGGGTGTCTGTAAGTGGATCACGTTGTCCGCAGGCTGGCCCTGCTGTGCCCATCGCTGGCCCCACAAACCGCGTGGCGTGACTCGGGATCTTCCCGCAGATGGCCCCTGACTGGCTCGCTCCCTCCCTCGCGACCGCAGCGTTGTCGACGGTGTGCGGAGAGCAACGCGTTGCTGTACATTTCACTGTTCTTGCGCGCGCTGTCGATTTTTTTGTTCTGGGTTGTGTTTTATTTTTAAAAGGCTTGTGTATAAATAGTTTGTGGAGTCTGAACAGGACTTTGGGCGCGCGTGTGTGCGTGTGACAGGCGCGTGTGTGTGTGTGTGACACACGCGTGTGTAAATCGCCCCGAATGCTACTTTTTTTGGAGCCAGAAGTTTGTAAACACCACGTATCTAACTCATGTAATCGCGGTATTTGCATTTATCAAAGTGTTTCGAAAGGGCAGGCATCGTAAGCGCACCGTGTATAGGTTCCGTGCTACAGCTGCGTGTGTGTATATATTGTAAGTGACATTTGCGAAGAGCTCGTGGGTGTCTCTGCAGATGTTTCTCAGAGCATGCCTGTGCTGCTGGGGAGCATTCGCACAACGTCGTGCAGCAGCCTCGCCAACGATGTGATTGCTTCTCAAGCCTCGGTTTGGGTGCTGTTGAATATTTGCATTGAAAGAAGAGGGTGGCGGCGGAGCTGAGATGAGCACAAATTGCGAAGTCAAAAAAGGGACGATACGATTTGTTGAAGAGAAGCAATGGTTGAGGATTAAGGACACACTTTGAGGCAAACGCAAAACCGACAATGATGACAACCGAAATGAACATTTGAACCTTACGGCGGTACCACAGGAGCCCGGCTCTCGCACAATGTCCGTGATGCGGTCACTTGTAGTCTGCTGATGGTCGGCGATGCGGCAATCGACTCATCTCGACGAGCTGTGCACGATGCACGATTCAAAGTTGAATTTTTCGATAACGGATTTTTTTCATGCTGATGTTTGGCGTTTCGACATCACGGAGTGGCACTGATTTCGGATTGATTGATACCCCCGTCTTGGAGTTAAGTACGCCCCTGGAAAAATAGTGTCCCAGAAATAAACATTTTAATTGCATCGGACATTTTGTATTATTTTGTGCCCCGGGGTTCCGCCATAAGGATCAGCTGCTAAAAGTTATGACAGCGTGATTCACCGTCGAGGGTGTTTTAAAGTAAAGAGTGCATTAATGTTGTTTTATTATGTGGTGAGGTAATATGTGAGGGGGAAGCCGTTTTAATTAGTTCACGTATGCGGTAGTGTCCGTGCATGGGGAGCGGTAGTGTAGCAGCGCGATTATCTGAACCGGTCCTGGGCCTCTCCTAGGTAGACTCAGTTTCAAATGAGTAGCTGGGTGCGGTGTGTAAACGTCGCCACTGGGGAGACAAATGCAGTCGGGCGTGGTGCTGGCCACCCACCCCCTCGTGTGCCGTGCCGGCCTTCATAGGTGCTCGCTACAGCACTTGCCCCAACAATCTGCTCAGGCTATACGGGGGATCTTTGTCACGTATGCAACAATGTTCATTGGAGTGGTGCCATCAGTGAAGTGCTCACGTTAATGCAACATCACGTGACTCCAGAGAAACGTGTTAACCTGGACTAAGATGAACATTTGTCCTAAAGCCCTCACTACATTCCACGTCTCCCCGACGAGAGATTAGTTTTTTTGTTTCACCTAACGGGTTATCGTCATCTTCTCGCGCTAAAAGTATAAAACAAATTTCGCCGTGCATTTTCGTTCGCGTTAAAAGTTTCAACGTCTATCAACGAAATTGGGGATCGGCCTGTGCAGCTAAAATAATTCAATCACCACTTTCATTTGGCCAATTTCAAGTGGTGCACGGTCTGTTCCACAAATTGTCACCTAGCCTAACTCAAAAATAAAAGTACGATTTGGGCTTCCTGGAAGGTGTCCGTTCCTTTTTTAGACAATTACCTGCACAGTCATTGCAGGTCACCCAGTCTGCACAGTGAGGGGCTACCCAACACTGGTGCAGGCGCCCACAGGCCCTGAGCAAACGACCACTGCTCCCTTCACGTTGTCATCATTGCATCGTTAATTACCAACGTAGCAGATCGAGCATTGTGGGGGTGGGGGGGGGGGTCCCCCACAGCTCTAATTTTCCTCCTATTTAGAATGTCTCACAGTGGTAACTCACCCTTTTTGGCTGCATAGGCGCCGTAGGTAATCACGTGTGTCAGCAGCAGTGTCCGTTATACATTCACGCTCCCGTTCACCGTGCCGCACGTGTCGGTCGAGTTGGGGGAATGGTGTAGAATCCATGCGCATAACCCGCTGACCTTTGGCACCTCAGGCAAAGGTCACGGTGCCGAGTGGTGCCCGCCAACTTGGGTGTTTGTCGCCGCCGGTACACGCGTGCGTGTGCACCCACACTGCGCTCCTGAGTATACCCAAGCATGTACACGGACACACCGTACGGGATACATACCCGTCTGAGTAGATGCGGTATGATGCGCTCACGCTCGCACGTTCGGTACGCGATGTTGCGTCTCCGCTTCGCGAGAATGGACTGCGGTGTATTCTGAATGGGGTACACAGCGTGGCGTATTCCAAGCTCCGAGTGCACGACCTTACCGACTTGCTACTTGGATTTCCCCGCTCCCTCCTCCTCCTCCTCCCCGCTCTCTCTTCGCCCCCTTTGAGTGCGTTTTTTGGATTGGAGTTTTCCATGGATCGATTTTTGAATGAAATCAATCCATAAAATCAATACAGCAGAACTCCTCTTATCCACGACCCTGTCATTCATGGAAGCTGTGGGACCTGTGAAAACATATTATCTGCTCTCCAACTCTTACAATTACCCACGATTACGTGCTGATTTTACCAACCTGTACTGTGGAACGGCTTCCTATTATCATAATTATCCGTGCATTTTTCTCAGATCAGGCGGTTTTTATTTTGTCCTTTCTCGCCCCAAATGTGTGTTTCTTTCGGACAAACGAAGTTCGTGAAAGACATCGCGGATCATAGGATCCGCGATGCCCGCCCCCTACATCGGCGCCGATAAAGAGTTGTGCTTCTCGCGACTTCAACACTCGACACAATGCTCAAATAATGCCCAGCGCCGGCGCAGTGTATGTGTACAGATGTTAACACGCATGTGAAATATGTGAGTGCGCGCGTGTGTTGTTGAAGTGCATTCAACTGTTTATGGACAAACAAACAAAAAAAGTATGATTGAGCTTAAACATAAACACGGGACATAGCCACTGGAGGCGATGCGGGCTCCAGCTCGTTTTGCCTGGGCTCCGGCCGAGTTTGACAGCACATGGGCTCATGTTTCCATAGCACATGTCTCACCGATACACGTTTCTGCATTGCGTAGCTGTAACGAGCGGCTGAGCGCAAGTCAGTAGAGCCTTGGGCGCGTGCGCCTGCAAGGCAGCGTGACTGGATAGCTGCTTGAACACGTAAGTGGGCTTTTCGCGACAGATATTATCCATGGGTTTAGGGGTTTAGGGGTTTTGGGGGGTCAGGTCGCGTCAGTGGATCGGTGGTGTTTGCGCGCTGAGAGCAACAGCGCCTTTGGTGGACGGAGGATGGACGACGTTGCCGCTCGACCGAGATGAGAAGAGCATGGGAACAGCGGGAAACGGGGAGAGATACCCCCACGCTGACAGAAAGATGTCATTGAATGGGCGTCACTTGCTTGCCTCCCCTTGAAATGAACCACACCAACATTCGCATATTTCATAGTTTAGCCGAATCGTTTTATACGTTTGTTTTTTGTAACGGGGTGTAACCGTGCGTTTTCGTGTTTATTTCAAAAGTGATGTCCGTGTTGGGAAAACAATGTATGTATATTCAAAGGGTGCTTTTAAACAGCAACAAAAACATCACCACTTCTTATTCTGTAGTGTTGCATCAAATCATCATCATTATTATTATTATATCTAAAAGTAGACATTCCCCGAGGACTGAGATTGTTCGACGTTTTCAGATCATAACGCAATGAAAGTGGTAACGTCTTTGAGCTGTGATTCTGCAATCTGACAACTGCTGTTGGTCACACTATTATCGCATTTCATGTCAAACGCATCTGCTTTCCTATGTTGTGGAAACAAAAGTGATGATGAGCATTCAAAAGTACCACTCCTCGTGTATGTATTAGCACTGTTTAACACGTGGCAGGCTTTTGCGACCAATATCATCCATAATAGAGGTTGTTTTAGGTTAGATCGCATGAATGTAAATGTGTCGTTAAACCCGCCACCACCCGACACAGCCAGTTGATCACGTGAATAGAACAAGCCAATGCTTTACTAGTACAGCACACCACCAGCCAGCGGTGTATTGGAGAGTAAACCCACAATTGAAAATGTTAGGTGGTGGCGGGTTTAACGACACATTTATATTTACGCGATCTAACCCAAAACATCTATTGTGGATGTATTAGCACTGTTGTTGTTGTTATTATTGTAGTCTCTCCCCTTAAAGTAGACCCATAAGAGTGGACATTAGTAAGTACTACGGGGTATATGAGTTGTTCTCACTTTTACCGTGTTTCGCGTTTGCTTCAATGTATTGTTACTTGCTGTATTGTAGCAAATGTGTATTCCCCCTTTGCTTTGTAATGGACAAGAGAAGGCACAATTAAAATATATGTTTTGCACATTGTAGACATTTTCCTGTTATGTTGAACTTATATGTTACCCACTCATGTGTGATGTCAAAAGATCCCTTGGTGTTATATCAGCGGTTGATTGAGACTTTAGATTTGATGATGTCAAATCTGCCACTAATCGAACACAGTTGAGTCCAGATGCTTGCAGGTTATTGGGTAGTAAATATATGTGCTAGGAACAGAAGGACCCCAAAAATACACGCTCAAATAATCTGCGAATTCTGTAATCAGCAGATTACCCGCAGTTCGCGATTCCTCCAGTAATGGGCGGGACCGTTGATCCTGAAATCCGTAAAGGAATTGCGGATGACTGGATCTCGCCCGGAAGCGGATAATTCCTCCCCAGAGGTCGCAACCGGGTACCCGATACCCGTACCCTACCCGATACCCGACTACCCGTACCCGGCCGGGTACGGGTACCCATTTGCGACCCTGGTGCGGCCGGGTACGGGTAAGGAATCAAAACCCGTTTGCGACCTCTGTTCCTCCCCTAATCCGCGGCACGCCCCGTCGGTGGCATCCGTGGATTGTCACAATTTATTGCAGATATTTTGAGAACTATATAAAAAGTAAATAAACCATTGCGCATTTGCAAAGAGGCCGCTGGCTTCTTTGCCATGCGAACCCTTTGACGTGTTTGGATAGCGGGTTGGGTTATCCTTTCCCGAGCGGTTGAACAAAGCGAGGGACACGTGGACCCCATGACGCCGTGACCTCACGACTCGTTATCGAGGGCGGCCTGGGGGTGAAATCAAGCGGCGTATGACAGAGTGAGCCTGTGGTCGTACGGCAGTGTGGCATCAGTCTGCCACCCTCCTGCTGGTCTCGCCGCGACCGAGCCGCCGGGCGCCTCTGAAACCTCCACCTCGTGCTCCAAGGGGGGCTGCCCCGTGCCAGGGCCGGGGGCCTCGCACTCACGCTCCAACTTGACCTTCCCGGTGATCTGCTGGGGTCGAGCCCTGGCGACGCCAGGACCGGCCGGCACTCGGCAGCGATGTCGCGGGGGATTTCATGGAGTGCGCCAGGGCGGTGTTACAATCGATGGCGAGACGCGTACGGACCCGTTCGTGCCAAGTCGTGTGTTGAACTTGTTTGGCACCGGACGTAGCCGTGATACTCGGATGTGCGGGGGAAGAACAGCAAACTAAACACAAACAAAATCAGTTTTAAATAAATTAGTTTTCAATCTAGATTTAGAAGTGGATCGCTCCAGTGGCGGTACCACAAAGGGTCTCTTTTGGGCTCGTTGAACCACAGCGATTGACACCAGGGCTGTCAAGTTTCCAGGACTTTTTTAGGTGCACTCAAAGGCGGTGTCAGGGCCCTCTTGGGATATTTTGGGATGGTTGATGTGGCCATCGGTGTGGTGGGTGCGTTTGGGGTGGATGATGTGATCGGGGCTTTGGACCGGGCTTGTGTTGGGCCCTCGGTGGATGTATTGCCCATACAGGTCGTGTGCGAGGTTGTTTGTGTGTGTGCGGTTAGCGCCACGCTGCGCTACGAACCTGGCGTCCCGGGTTCGATTCCCGCTCACGGCCAACACCAGTGACGATTATTTGAACCGGTCCTGGGCCTCCCCTAGGTCGACTCAGCCTCAAATGAGTACCTGGTGCGGTGTGTAAACATCACCACTGGGGAGATAAAGGCGGCCGGGTGTGGTGCAGGCCACCCACCCCTTCGTGTGCCGTGCTGGCCTTCATAGGTGCTCGCTAACAGCACTTGCCCCAACAGTCTGTTCAGGCTATACGGGGGATCTTTGTCTTGTGTGTCACACACCTGTGCGTCTCCAACTATATTTGGCCTTTTATTGGTTGTTTTCGTTTCTCCACCATTGCCCTCGGTCCGTCTGTAGTGAGATGCAAATTAATTAAGGCCTAAAACAACGTCCATTCCAATGAAAATTGAGTTTAAAAGCACTTAACCACAAATATATGTAGGTGTAACGTGTGTACGTATAACAATGAACTGTGAAGAAAAATACAGCAGTCAAGGGAAAGAGTAACAATGTCTCAGAAGTTAAATATCTCTGTGATAACTCTGCAGCATCGCCAACGCCCCTAATGGAAATGTTAGGACAGTAGTTGGGGCAAATGCTGAGAGATCATCTCTGTGTCTGTCTCTGTGTCTGTTGTCTGTCTCTGTCTCTGTGTCTGTGTCTGTCTCTGTGTCTGTCTCTGTGTCTGTGTCTGTCTCTGTGTCTGTCTCTGTGTCTGTGTCTGTGTCTGTCTCTGTGTCTGTGTCTGTGTCTGTCTCTGTCTCTGTGTCTGTCTCTGTGTCTGTCTCTGTGTCTGTCTCTGTGTCTGTCTCTGTGTCTGTGTCTGTGTCTGTGTCTGTCTCTGTGTCTGTCTCTGTGTCTGTGTCTGTGTCTGTCTCTGTGTATGTCTCTGTGTCTGTCTCTGTGTCTGTGTCTGTCTCTGTGTCTGTCTCTGTGTCTGTCTCTGTGTCTGTGTCTGTGTCTGTCTCTGTGTCTGTCTCTGTGTCTGTGTCTGTCTCTGTCTCTGTGTCTGTCTCTGTGTCTGTCTCTGTCTCTGTGTCTGTGTCTGTCTCTGTGTCTGTGTCTGTCTCTGTGTCTGTGTCTGTCTCTGTCTCTGTGTCTGTCTCTGTGTCTGTCTCTGTCTCTGTGTCTGTCTCTGTGTCTGTCTCTGTTTCTGTGTCTGTCTCTGTGTCTGTGTCTGTGTCTGTCTCTGTGTCTGTGTCTGTGTCTGTCTCTGTGTCTGTGTCTGTGTCTGTCTCTGTGTCTGTGTCTGTCTCTGTGTTTGTCTCTGTGTCTGTCTCTGTGTCTGTGTCTGTCTCTGTGTCTGTCTCTGTCTCTGTGTCTGTCTCTGTGTCTGTCTCTGTGTCTGTGTCTGTGTCTGTCTCTGTGTCTGTGTCTGTCTCTGTGTCTGTCTCTGTCTCTGTGTCTGTGTCTGTCTCTGTGTCTGTGTCTGTCTCTGTGTCTGTGTCTGTCTCTGTCTCTGTGTCTGTCTCTGTGTCTGTCTCTGTCTCTGTGTCTGTGTCTGTCTCTGTGTCTGTGTCTGTCTCTGTGTCTGTGTCTGTCTCTGTGTCTGTGTCTGTCTCTGTGTCTGTCTCTGTGTCTGTGTCTGTCTCTGTGTCTGTGTCTGTCTCTGTGTCTGTCTCTGTCTCTGTGTCTGTGTCTGTCTCTGTGTCTGTGTCTGTCTCTGTGTCTGTCTCTGTCTCTGTGTCTGTGTCTGTCTTCTGTGTCTGTCTCTGTGTCTGTCTCTGTGTCTGTGTCTGTCTCTGTGTCTGTGTCTGTCTCTGTGTCTGTGTCTGTCTCTGTGTCTGTGTCTGTCTCTGTGTCTGTGTCTGTCTCTGTCTCTGTGTCTGTCTCTGTGTCTGTCTCTGTGTCTGTGTCTGTCTCTGTGTCTGTGTCTGTCTCTGTGTCTGTGTCTGTCTCTGTCTCTGTGTCTGTGTCTGTCTCTGTCGTCTGTGTCTGTGTCTGTCTCTGTGTCTGTGTCTGTGTCTGTCTCTGTGTCTGTGTCTGTCTCTGTGTCTGTGTCTGTGTCTGTCTCTGTGTCTGTGTCTGTCTCTGTCTCTGTGTCTGTCTCTGTCTCTGTGTCTGTCTCTGTGTCTGTCTCTGTCTCTGTGTCTGTGTCTGTCTCTGTGTCTGTGTCTGTCTCTGTCTCTGTGTCTGTCTCTGTTCTGTGTCTGTCTCTGTCTCTGTGTCTGTCTCTGTCTCTGTGTCTGTCTCTGTCTCTGTCTCTGTGTCTGTCTCTGTGTCTGTCTCTGTCTCTGTTCTGTGTCTGTGTCTGTCTCTGTCTCTGTGTCTGTCTCTGTGTCTGTCTCTGTCTCTGTGTCTGTCTTCTGTCTCTGTGTCTGTGTCTGTCTCTGTGTCTGTGTCTGTCTCTGTGTCTGTCTGTGTCTGTCTCTGTGTCTGTCTCTGTGTCTGTCTCTGTCTGCTGGTCTGTCTCTGTGTCTGTGTCTGTCTCTGTCTCTGTGTCTGTCTCTGTCTCTGTGTCTGTCTCTGTCCTCTGTGTCTGTCTCTGTCTCTGTGTCTGTCTCTGTGTCTGTGTCTGTCTCTGTCTCTGTGTCTGTCTCTGTGTCTGTCTCTGTGTCTGTGTCCTGTCTCTGGTCTGTCTCTGTGTCTGTCTCTGTGTCTGTGTCTGTCTCTGTCTCTGTGTCTGTCTCTGTGTCTGTCTCTGTCTCTGTGTCTGTCTCTGTCTCTGTGTCTGTCTCTGTGTCTGTGTCTGTCTCTGTGTCTGTGTCTGTTCTCTGTGTCTGTGTCTGTCTCTGTCTCTGTGTCTGTCTGTGCTGTGTCTGTCTCTGTCTCTGTGTCTGTCTCTGGTGTCTCTGCTGTGCTGTCTTGTCTGTCTCTGTCTCTGTGTCTGTCTCTGTCTCTGTGTCTGTCTCTGTGTCTGTGTCTGTCTCTGTGTCTGTGTCTGTCTCTGTGTCTGTGTCTGTCTCTGTCTCTGTGTCTGTCTCTGTGTCTGTGTCTGTCTCTGTCTCTGTGTCTGTCTCTGTCTCTGTGTCTGTCTCTGTGTCTGTGTCTGTCTCTGTCTCTGTCTCTGTGTCTGTCTCTGTGTCTGTCTCTGTCTCTGTGTCTGTCTCTATGTCTGTCTCTGTGTCTGTGTCTGTGTCTGTCTCTGTGTCTGTGTCTGTCTCTGTCTCTGTGTCTGTCTCTGTGTCTGTGTCTGTGTCTGTCTCTGTCTCTGTGTCTGTCTCTGTGTCTGTCTCTGTGTCTGTGTCTGTCTCTGTGTTTGTCTCTGTGTCTGTCTCTGTGTCTGTGTCTGTCTCTGTGTCTGTCTCTGTCTCTGTGTCTGTCTCTGTGTCTGTCTCTGTGTCTGTCCCTGTCTCTGTCTCACTCAACGCCCTGGGCCGTGCCCCGCGGTTCTGCCGTGGTCCATTCCAGCGAAGCTTTCCGCCCAATCTCAGCGATCTTCGCAGCCAATGCGGCGTCTCTGCTTTGTCTGCGTGCCTCCATCTTCATGCAGCGCGCAACGTTTCACAGACACAAGTGTGGAGCCAACCTTGTTGTCGCTCCAAAGCCACGCGAGAGAGCAGGTGGGGCCTTGGAGTTTCTCTCTTCAAAGTCGGTGTTGATTGAACGATGCTGCAAATGTGCAGCCGGATCACGATTACTGTTCCCGTATGTTTTGGTTGTCCCTTCAATTCGGCGTTGTGTTACAGCAGACTTATTGTTCCTGACTTTTGATTTGCCCATATTTAGCCCGAACAAACTTTTTGCAGCCTCCCAAGTCCAGCTCCTCCATGATTTTTCGTGATACATTTTCACTATTTATCATGACTGTCTAGAGAATATTCTGAGCTGTCTCATCGACAAATAACGTGTCCTTACTTTCCATTTCGCCAAGAGGACGGCATGTGTTGTGTTTAAGGCAACACGAAAACTTGCAAGAGGTCGGGCCACTGCGAGACCAGGCTGCCGCCTCCCACCCGCCGGTGGAGCCATCAACAGCACCGTCAGGTCAACGCCAACAAGACAAGAAGACCGGTTGTCCGAATGTCACGCACGAGACATCGAGAGACGGAGACTCAGGCGGCTCGCCCATGACCCCAGAGTGGACCAGGGACCGTCTACCCAAAATTGCCCTGAGATGGACACCGCCGGGCACAAGGAGACCTGGGAGCACCTGGGCGCAAGATCGTGAAGGAGGAGTTGGTTAGCGGTCAGCCTCTCTTGGGCCCAACATGTTGCCGAGGACAGGGAGCAGTGGAGGGAACTCATTGCGGCCTCGTGTCCCACAGGGGATGAAGAGGATGAGCTTATCTAAGAGTAGTGCGACTTTGGACATCCAACACAAACTTTGGGCCGTCTAGCACAGCAAGCCACTTTAGTTTGCGCTCCTTCGGCAGAGCAGGAACAGCAACATTACGCAAACTCCCTCCTAGAGCCATCTCGCCGTGGCCAACAGACCTCAACATCGGCATTTAACTCCTGAACACACTGCCATCAGGCAAGAATAAAAATGTTCACACCAAAACAGTAAATTGCTTCAGCTGTGTGCTTGCTTGCAGTTATAATGGCTGTGGGATGTTATTGATTTTCCAACGTATCCCAATCTACATCATGCACTCACTGCGTGTGTTCAAAATGTCTTGCAAACAATTACAAGCAATGATCTCAACACGTGGATCGATTGTCGCCTCATTCGGAGGTGCTGACATCAGGCGAAATGCTTCGTGGGCTATATGTTCCAAACACTATTATAACGTCTAGCACACGCCATCATGCTTGAATAATAACACCATGGCGTTCCCCTGTAATTGCCAATGGCTGCCTGGCTCAGAAATGTTACCGATAAGAGGAAGACCTTCGCTCTCAGCCTGCCGTGTTGTTTGACTGCCATCAGCACCTGTCTATAAGAAGGGGTGTCGGCCAGTTCATACCCATTCGTGTTCCTGAACTCCCCGATCATCGTAAAACAGGTAAACCGATTCACACAATTCTAGTTCACACAAAGAATTATGTAACTTTTTTTAAAGTTGTCTGAATACTCTCGTTTGCACGTTTTATGTCAGGGGTGACATAACTCATGGGACTGTTATCATTTTTTTAACAATGCATAGTTGTTTTTGAGCAAATGTGCAGAGTTCATTCAAACCAAAGCGCATCGCATAGCTGGTTAGCCTGGTGGTGGGCACGAGGCTCGCCAGCAAGGCGACTTTCGTGGAGTTATTCCTGCAGGGGTGTCGCTCCATCTGCTGCCTTCCAGATGACTTTCCCTTCGTGTGTGGGGGTGGGGGTTTCCTCTCGTTTGTTAGCTCGTGTCGTTTTTTTTATTATTTCTTGCCGGCGCTATGAAATGTTTCGCGTTTAAATGCCACGCAGTACAAACACGAAGCGTGATTCGTAATAGGTAGGTTTTTTTGGGCGGGGGGGGGGGGCTGGTCGCGTAGCCAATTGATAAAGTTGTCACGTGAACAAACGTGACAACGTTGTTGATGCTGTTGCTGCTGCTTCTTCAAGCAGCAACCACCGGCTGTGGTGTTGGAGAGAAATCCGCACGCGGCGAACCACGTGGCTGCGACATTGCCTCGGAGTTCGAGCGAGCATCATCACACAGCGGCTTCCTTTAGGGGGGCGGGACTCGGTAGCCCATCTCACAAGTGGGGGGCCATGTGGGCGGGGGCTAGGGATGGGTGAGCGACGGAGGGGGGGGGGGCTGTCAGTGAGGGGGGGGGGGGGCTTTGCGTTACTTGGCGGTCAGATTTCGGTAGAAGTCTGCGCAACTTTGCGGCGACTCGTGGGTACCCTTTGTGCTTCTCACGGCGCGCTGCTCGACCCGAGAATGACCTCCTCGTGTCTCTCGTCTCGAGCTCTTATTAACAAACTTAACAAACCCCAAAAAACACCTTCAATTCAAGGATCGCGTTTAGTCTTATCGACTGCAACTTTTGATCGTGCTGCTGCTGCTGCTGTTGTTGTTGCTGGCTGTTGAACATTTGAAACGTGTGCTGAACAACAAATGTGTTTAAAATGTCATAATAATGGTGGACGAAGATTAAACATCTTGAGAATAAAATTGTTAACACGTCGGCTTTCGCGACCAAATCTGGCTGTCGCCTGATGAAGCTAGTTGTACTTACTGGCGAAACGTCGTACTCAAGATTGTAAATGTTGTGGCTTTGCTCTCCAACACACCGGTTAGTGCTGCACGAGTGACGAATTGGCCACGTTCTGTTGACGTGACAGCCCTTGCTGGTTGGCTGCCATCCGGGTTGTCACCGAGCAGTCTCCGGGTTGTCTGCCACACAAACAGCAGCAGCGAGTGGGGACAATGGGCGGCTGCTGCTCTCCCAAGTGTCGCCTCGTCAGCGGCTTGGTCGTCTCGGCGCTCGTGCTGGTGCTGGGAGGAGTCCTCATCCCCATCGGAGACCACATCATCAGCTCCACGGTCACGGAGGTCGGTGTGCGCCAGTGGAGACGCACGCCAACACCAGCGCGTGCGTGTGTGTACGTGTGTGTGTACGTATGTGTGTGCGTGTGTGTGTGCGTGTGTGTACGTGCGTATGTGTACGTGTGTGTGTACGTGCGCGCGTGTGTGTGCGTGCGTGTTTGTGTGTGCGTGTCTGTTGGGGAGCGGTGGTACAGCGGTGAGCGACGCTGCGCTATGAACCCAACGACCCGGGTTTGATTCGCGCTCGCGAACAACACCGGTGACGATTATCCTGGGCCTCCCCTAGGTCGGTTCGGCCTCAAATGAGTACCTAGGTGCGATGTGTAGTCAATATCGCCACTGGGGAGACAAAGGCGGTCGGCGGTGGTGCTGGCCACCCACTCCCACGTGTGCCGTGACGGCCGTCATAGGTTGTTCGCTTACAGCACTTGTCCCAACAGTCTGTTAAGGCTATACGGGGGTTCTTTGTCTTTGACGTTTATAAATGTGAACGCACGCACGTGAACGTACGCGCGTGGATGCGATTGGGTGCGCTTTGAGGCGAGGAGCATCTCGTTGGCGAATTCCCGTGCAACACGTGCAGGCAGTCCTCGTTTAGCGCGCTATTTGACGCGTTAAGTGAAAACTGTTTCCCTTATAAGTAATGTAACGGTAACGTTTGGCGCTATGCAAAGTGGTACTCGTTTTATCGACCTCGCAGGGATGAGCCGTGTCAACCTCTAGCGAGGATTTGAACTCGCGAGCAATTGCGAGCTGCTCGATCTCCAGCTGAGCCACTTCGCTAATACTGGAGTAAGTTCCTGTAGATGTGCCACATTGTGGAAGAGACAACGCTTCTCTATCACGGAAACCAAACATACTTCTCTTCTGTTCATAGGAGGCCGTGCTCATCAATGGTACCGTGGCATTTGATGCATGGGTCCAGTCCCCCAGCGATGTCTACCGCCAGTTCTGGTTCTTCAACGTGACCAACTCAGAAGAGTTCTCGCTGCAAAGTAATTCCAGCGTGAAGCCCAAACTCAAGCAGCTAGGGCCCTACACGTACAAGTGAGTCCCGAACTGCACCAGCAAACCAAACATCGCAGCACCAGACACGCTGGGCCTGACGCAAGGGACAGTGAGAACGACAGACACCAAGCCCAAGCAGCCCTTTGCACACTTCACGCGTTAGTGAAATTATATGGTTGTTTATCTAATGATGAAAGGCTTATCTAAAATGAGTATAATTTCACCAATACAGACGAAACGGTGTGACGTGCTGCCAAGTGAAGAGAGTTCTAACGCTAGAAACATTTGTCCGCACATTTAGGCAACATTCTGAAAATGGCGGTAGAGATTGTCAAATGGTGATACCGAAAAATACAAACTTTGTCCGACGATTTTTACAGCTGAATGTGGAACATCGACAGTGGTTGGTGCACTGGGCTACGGACCGAACGATCCAAAAGTTTGATTCCTGCGAACAGCTAAAATCAGTGACATGTGAACTGGATCCGGGCCTCTCTCTTCACCAACCTACGCTGACCGGCAATGTTCAATTTTCCATGATGATGATGATGATAAAAAAAACAACCCTCAATAACGAACAGTGCCTTATGGAAGGCAATATAAAAAAAATGACATTATAAGCTGCACGTGTGCTAAAGCGGGTCTTTCTTTCCACTAACTTTACCCCTGAAATAGCCCAGTCTTTTCTATGAATGGGGTCTTTGGGGGAAGTCACCCGATTCGTCTATTTTAGGAGAGAAACGAAGATTATTGTTTTTTTGTAATATTAATGTAGGACCATTTTTTGTATGCTTCGAATGTCGGGAACCACCCCAACTCCCGTTGGGAGGACCTTAGGTCAGCGTTGTGACCTTAGGTCAGAGTTGTGACCTTTGCCCAGGAAGAGTCTGTTCATTAGTTGTCTTTGTGCAGTGGCTATGGCGCGCACAGGTACCATCTTATAAAGCAGTGAACCATCTTTCCCCACCTGACATCGTTGGCTTACTGCGCCCAGATGTCCCCCCCCCTCAAGGTCCCTAAGATCTGGTGATGCAGATCTTCTTTACATTCTGTGGACATTATAAAAAAAATGCGCCTTAGAACCTATTTATACGCTTCTGCTTATTACGCTTTTAGTTCATTTAATAAATGGAGTATAATATAAAATAATTAACCAGGATTTTCAGGTGGGAGGGCAACCCCTCCAGCAATGAAAAACGATATGAATTGTTAGTACGTAAGGAGTTGTTAGTCAGTAAGGACTTGTCCCTTGCTTTTTATTCGACGCGTGTGCGGCGATGGCACAGCCATCGATCGAGGGTCGAATTCGAACCGCGTGGTGTGATCGGCATCGCGCTCGCTGAAGGTGAATGCCTTCAGGGAAGTCGTGGACTGGACACGCAACTGCGCACAATTCTGTGAGTCACTTATAACTGCTTTGCCGTTACTTATTGCCAATTATGGACTCAGACTATTGTCCTATCATCTCATAGAGTCCCTGGCACGTAATCATATGCTACACAGTGGCAGTGGGGGTCGCAAAATGCCGATTTATTACTAATAAACCCCAATGATCCGATCGAAATTAGGGATTTTGATGGGATCATTGGGGGGGAACGTGCCCCCCCACCACCGGCTCCGCCAGTGGCTGCTGCTGTGTCTGCTTTGAGATCCTAGATGAAAAGCCACTATATATAGATGGACTTATTATTATTATTATCTTGTGATGGGGTATTTCCATGTTTTGCAGAGTGCGTCATTTAGCCAAGGACAACCTGGAGTACCATCCGAACGACAGCGTGTCGTACGTGCTACCGCAACAAGCCATCTTCCTGCGGGACATGTCTGTGGGACCCGAGGAAGACTTGATCACGTCCATTAACATGGTGGCTTCTGTAAGAACCATTGATGCGCTCGTTTATTCACCTGCAATAATCACCGAGCCAACAATAGTTGCCAACGCAAGTTAGTTGCCATAGAAACCTATCACCTCTGTTATATGACCATATTTGCTCACATTAATGTATGTAACATCATGTAAATCATTAATAGCATCTTTAACACCAATCTTTGCATTTACAGAATGCAAAGAAATGTCGGTATAGTCAGAAGTAGAAATTGGAATAGAATATCACCAAGATTAGGATTGACTTAATTACAGCAGTTTTTAAAATAATTTCTATTGTTATGTTGTAATAATGTGGTTTTATTCAGTCCAAGTGTCTCCCTGCTCAAACAACGTTAGTATGTTGAACTTCTTTCGCGCTGTACGTAGCCAACCGTGCTAATCGCAGGTGCATGGGAAGGTCAACAAACCAACACACAAACAGCGGTTCTCAAGAAATTAGTTTGCAATCTCGATTCAAAGCGAGCAATACGGCGGAAGTCATCGTCACGATTGGCGGCCCTGCGTAGGTGGCAGTGATGGTCATTTTATATTCCGGTGATGACATTTAGCCTCACCATACGGTGACCACTATTGACTCCCCATACAGTTTAACACGTAGGCTTTCGCGAACAATATTACCCACAATCTAGGTTTTTGGGTTAGTAAATATAAATGTGTCGTTAAACCCGCCACCACCCGACACAGCCAATTTGTAAGGTTTGTCACGTAAAGTAAGTTTACCCATGAGTAAACCCATACAGCTTTCAAACAAATGTAACTCTACATAGCAACACTGAGCCTGAAGTACAGAACACACGGCAAATCTGCCATGAAGGTGCACATACACAGTGCAGGTATCCCTCGATTTTACGAACGTTCGGTTTATGAAATTTCGCATTAACGCAATTGAAACTTTTAAACGAAATCGAAATTTCACTCCGGCCACGGCGCCGTGAGATCGTCGAACGAGAATCACCCCCGGGGAGAATCACCCCGGGGAGGATCACCCCGGGGAGGATCACCCCGGGGAGGCTGCGTCGCCACCCATCCGCGACGGTGCCACGGCGTCCCTGCAGTTCAGCAGGAACGCCTCCACATCGCCTTGCCAGTTCTTCCAACAATGCAGATCTTTTGGCGAGTTCCATGATAAAGTGTTCATTATTTTGTTTCTTTTAGTCAATAATTCCTCCCTCATTTTAATATTCATTTCATTTGTTATCATTTGTGCGCTGTCAGAAGTGATATAGGTGTATCTTTTTTTAGGTTCGGAATTGTAATGACCGTCCGAAACACATCCCTCATTTTTCTTTTCTATTAAATTAAGGGAAAAAGCCGTTCCGATTTACGAAGTTTTTTTTAAACACGTTTTTTTGAAGAACGCATCCCTCCTGTAAATCGAGGGATGCCTGCACTGCACGAATCACATTTGCAGCATCCCTGGCATTACATCAACAGCAACATCTCACGTCGAGACTGTCGTATCTAAAGTGTAAGCCTTCTGTTTGCTCTTTCAGGCGTTGCCTGTCATCATGGGTCTTCCCCAAATTTTAAATGGTATCTACAAGATAACCAACACCAGCATCTTCCATACACGCACAGTTCGAGAGCTTCTCTGGGGATACAAGGATCCCATCCTAGAATCGGTGCCCATCCCCGGCATCGAAAGTACCTTTGGACTCTTTTATCCGGTAAGTTTGAGAATTCACCTTTGTTCAACTCTGCCTTTCCTAGCAATTGGAGGCGCCACGGTGGCAATATGTTAACAACCTGGCCTGATATGCAGTAGGCCGTGAGTTTCATCCCGACCGTGACGCCTGCTGTATATTTGGAGTTTGCGTGTCCCTCTCCTTGTGGTGGCGTGGATTTTCTCCGGGTCCTCTGGGTTTTTCCCTCAACATTTAGAATCAACGTCACGCGCTGAGAGTATTTGGCCGCTATACATTTCCACGTGATGAGCCACTTCGTTGAGCTATCATTTGTGGCCAGATTTCTTCTGAAAAGAGCTACATAGCTCAGTGGGCCTTACCTGTTAAAACAAAATAAAAAATTTTTAATATGGGGGATCTTACACTGTGGTTTTCAAATATGTGTTAAGTGTTACATGGAATGTTTTATTACTTTATTTAAAAATTATACAGTCATTTGTATTTCTCACTAAAAATTGTAACAAAAAGTTGTGCTAGAGTGGGATATTTTAGGGCTGGAACGTAAGTCAGCTTTTAACATGCAAGTCAATGGGAAAACGATGATCGTTTAACGAGTTTTCACTTACCGAGCCATATTCGTGGAACATATTTCGCTTGTTAAGCGAGACGACATGCCTGTTACATTCACGTTGTTGTGCAATGTGATTTCTGTGCAGTACAATGGTTCAAACGATGGAATTTACACCATTTTCACTGGGCAAGGAGACATCAGCAGAGTTGCCATCATCCATGAATGGAAGAATAACAAGTAAGTCCTTTGCAATAATGACGTAATCTACAATGTTTAAGTCAATATTGAGTATAGTACTGTACTGTGAAACTTCTCAAAGCTGGACGGATTTGGGGAGAGTCCCTCCGGTAATGGGTTGTGTCAGACGTCCCGCATAGAATTACGGAATTCATTCAAGTTTATTTGGCAACAAATGTGAAAAAATGCTAAATGAAACCAAGAACACAGAGCAGAGCAGCGCACGCGACATCCAACGTCAAATATTTACCGATTTACATACAACAGAATAAGCGCAGTTCGTGAATGTGGCTGAAAAATTGCCGGTGTACATACACACGCCACCTTCTACCTGTGCACATTCATTGTAGTGCACATTTTTATTTATTTTCGGCAGCCTTAGGGCTTAACCCGAATTCTGGCTTACTCGACCCGGGCTTTGAGAGGCTTTATTGTAATTTCGCAAACGTGTTCACTAAATACATCGTGCTGTCCGACTCTCTTTGTTTTCTTTCATGTCAGGTACATGAACTTTTGGCCGGAAGAATCATGTGACAGAATAAAAGGGACAGGTAAAAATGGAACTGCAACACTGTCGTTTAAACAGACGTCGCAGAAATAGAACTCAGCATCATTTGTGCAAATTCAATTCGGGACAACTCCTTTTATCTGTGGTGATGTGGGGGACCAAAATCACGGATCCTGTTATCCGAATGGATATCCACGTTTCTGTTTATTGCACTTACTATTTAAAACTATAAATATTTGTTTTAATTTACCAGGTTTGGCCCACTGAGCTATTGCAGCTCTTCTCTAGAAGTGACCTGGCCACAAATGATAGCTGAACGACGTGGCTCATTACGTTGAAATTTATAGCAGCAAAATCATTTTCACGCATGTTATTTATAAATGTGGAGGGCAAAACCAGAGGATCCGGAGAAAAATCCACGTGACCACGCGGGGAACATGCAAACTCTGGATATACAGCAGGCGTCAGGGTCAGGGTCGAACCCACGCCCTTCTCCTGTATACTAGGCGAGGTAGTTAACATCTTGCCATCACATAGACAATAGTTCTCGTGCATAATTAGACATTACAATCAGGGCAGAGGTCAACGCAGGGTTTTTTTGTGATTAGATGATAGTCCTTCCCATGCACCTCTGATTAGCACGGTTGGCTACGTACGGTGTGAAATAAGTTCAACATTCATGCGGTACATACAAGGCCAGCACATCAACCTTCCAGGGTTAAAGACACGAGGGACAGTGCATAAGGCTGCCATCGGAATGTGCAATTTTCGTTCTCCGGCTGCCAAAGAAGATGAGCACTTCTGTATGCTCGCTTGAACAAGGAGACACTTCGAGTTCCCACGAGGGCCGTGAAGTCGGTGTGACTCGGAGGAGGCTCCGCGACCAATACCATCCATAATAGAGGGTTTTTTTGGGTTACATCGCGTAAATATATAAATGTGTCGTTAAAACCCGCCACCACCCGACACAGCCAACTAGTAAGGGTTGTCACGTAAACAGAACGTGCCAATTCGTCATTAGTACAGCACTAGTGTGTAGTGTATAGTAGTGTAGTGTATAGTGTAGTGTATAGTGCAATATACTAGTACAGCACACCAGTGTGTTGGAGAGCCAAGCCACAACATTTACAATCTGAGAGTACCACGTTTTGCCAGTAATTACAACTAGCTTCATCAGGCGACAGCCAGATTTGTGGAGAAGTCTACCTGTTTCGTTCCTTATATAATAGAGGCGTAGATGTGGTGACCACGCTTCTGCGCGCTTGCCGTGAAGTCGGCATGCACCGACTATTGACATGCCGTATAGAATAGTGGGGACGGCATTCTCATCGTGGGCGCGATGTGTGCAAGCAAGTAAGCAAGCATTTTGACAAACCAGAAGTGTCTGACAGTTGTCTATTTGATGTTGTTGATTTGTATTCATGGCGAGTGTAGCATTTGTTGTAATCATTAACACATCGTGGCATTTGCCTATCAGTCCTTGCCTAGGCAGGCATTGCCTTTGCACTGCATGTTACACTAGTAAACTAAACTTTGTTGTGTCCACAGATGGATCCAGCTTTCCGCCTTTTTTGAATAAGAAAAATCAACTGGAATTTTTTTCATCTGATGTCTGCAGGTAATAATTTCTTCATACGTGAACCTGTTGTCTGCGCATTTTAATGGTCGCGTTGCTGACACCCACAAATACAACATTTGAAGCGCCGTGTGACAACGTTGTGGGTGGAGTGGTAGCGAGGTTGTGGTGAAATATGGTCAAACAAGGGCTTCATCCAGCAGTGGATTATCAGAGGGCTGTAACAAATGGAAAAGCTGCACATTTTTAAAACCTTACTCATGTACTCACATATTTTTTCGCCATTCAAATCCACCTCCGATTAGCACGGTTGGCTACGTACGGTGCGAAAGAAGTTCAACTTACATACGTACAATCGATCGGAGCAGTAATGCAAAATTAATTGCAAAGTACAGACTGTACAAAGATATAGGGTGCTCTAAATAAATGTGTTCGTTTTCTGACACTTGGAAATTAGGATCTTACTCTTGACCAGAGTATGCATTCGTCCATTGGTCCATCAGGACTGTCAAACATGTAGACAAAGAATACCTATCGACCATCATACCCATTTCGAATTCATTTCCCCTATTCGTGGAAATGTACAACCCCTTTCCAGCTTTCAACTAAACGGCACATTTCCTCTTTTTGTCTTGGATCATTACCGCACGCTGCATAAAATCCCTTTAAATGTGCGATAACCTTTGAAGCGTGGACCTCACGCCCGCGCTCGCCTGGCCGCCCGTGTCCGTCGCCCAGGAATCTGGTCGCGGAATTTCACCAAACGCGAAAACTGAAGGGCATCGACGTGTACCGCTTCCTGCTCCCCACGTCGCTGCTCTCGGCGTCGAATAAGAACACCGCCAACCGCTGCTACTGCACCAAGTACCTCAACCAGACGGGCTGCACGCGTGACGGGGTGCTGGACATCAGCAGCTGCAAAGGCGGTGGGTGGGCTGGCGGGCGCATCGCATCTGGGTCGTGGACCCTCGTGGACGGAGCTAGCCGCTCCTGCTGTGCGAAAGGGGGGGGGGGGGCCTCTGCGGTGGTGAGATGTTAGCTACCTCGCCTGGTGTACAGGAGGTCGTGGATTCTATCCCGACCCCTGCTGTATAGTTGTAGTTTGCGTGTCTCTCTCTCCCCGTGGACGTGTGGATTATTCTCCGGGTCCTCCGGTTTTTCCCCTCCATTTTTTGTATCTCAGAAAATGTAACAATTCTGCACATTTTGTTTGACTTGGATCGTTTGACTTGTCATATTGGGTGGGTTACCTTTGGAGCAGTGCCGTGCGGTATTTATGGATGGCATGCGATGTATAAACATCATCGACTGGGCGCCGCGGTGGCGAGAGGTGAACTCCCTCGCAGGAGGTCGTGGGGTTCGATCCCGACTTTGGCGCCTGTTTATTTGGAGTTTGCTTGTCTCTCTCTGCGTGGTCCTCTGGTTATTCCCTCCGTATTTAGAAACGGCATGCGTTTAGAGTATCTGGCTGCTGTAAATGTCCACGTGATGAGCAAATTTCTTCTGCTATCATTTGTGGCCAAGGCGCTTCTGAAACGGGCTTCCCTTCGTCGAACGCGCCAAAGGGCAGCCCGTTTGCCCACCGCGCCAGCTGGAGCCAGGCAACACTTGGGCATCTGTGGAATTAGAGCTTCATAGCTCATCGAATTCCTCCCGTCTGATTAAAGATTCTGAAATAAAGATGAAATGAGAGTGTACTGTCCCGTGCCTTCCCTGCCTCAGGTGCTCCGGTGTTCATCTCTCTGCCTCATTTCCTGGACGGCAGCAGGGAATATATCGATGATGTGGAAGGTCTGGAACCAAATCGGGAAGAGCACGAAACCTACCTGGACGTGGAGCCGGTAGGGCTAAAGTGACACACTCCCACTGCTCTCACCAGCGCGGCGTTTTGTGGCGGTGACGTGGCCCAGCCGCCAGCTCTCGTTCGACGGCTGTTGCAGCAGAGGCTCACGGCTCGGATCCAGCGGCCGCCCCGTTCAATACCCACGCTGTGCGATGTTCATACTAACACGGCGCTGGTCTCGCCACAGTCGACGTTGAAGATCCCTTGACGTAATCGCGTAGGCCACTGGTGTGTGTGTGTGTACCGGCGTCGGGGTCCAAATTTACCAAATTAATTTCGAAAAAAAAATAATTACTCTATTTGGATTACACTCGGCAGCATCATCTCCCCCCTGCTGGCGGACTAATGCCCCGGCTCACGTTGCGAAATGAGCCTCCATCCTGGTCTCTTGCACTCTCAGCTGGTCAAACTGAATGAACGTGAAACCTCTTGTGGTTGCAGACGCTCCGTCTATTTTTGTAGTGCCCGTTAATGTGCAAGTATGCACAGAAGCAGTCTGCTGTCGTTTTGGTGATGACGTTGATTTGTAGGGGGCAGCTGATCTCAGAATCTTACCATTATCTGTAGAGCCCTAAAACGTGGAAAGTTGAGAGCAACATCTCCTAAGCAATGTGTGACTGCCTATTATAATGCATTTAGTGTTTGTGGAAAAGGACACTTTGCCGCGTATGTCTGTACGTTGAACTTCTTTCGCACCGTACGTAGCCAACTGTGCTCATTGGAGGTGCGGGGGAAGGACAACAACACTAAACACAAAAAGCAGTTCTAAAGAAATGATTTTGTCAATCTAAATGATGATTTAAGAGAGCATAACTCCAGTGGCTTCCTAACATCGGAAGGAAAGAGCGTTCCAGACGGCCGCAGAAGCGCGCCTGAAAGCGCCGCGCGATGACGCGGCGACCGCCGTCTTTGTCCGATGGTCAGCAGCCAGCAGCCGCCGCTGCGAGGATGACCGCAGTTCGCGTGATGGTTTTACGCTCCCTGACGAGATCGGCAAGGTGTTGTGGTTCATTTGTGTCAAGTACGTTGTGCGTGCGACGCGTTGCGACCTTAAAGCAGTGACCCTCCTGGAGGGGCGGCTTGTCCCGGTGATGATAATTGTTGTTTTGTTGATCTCGCAGACGACGGGCATTACCATGAGCGTGACCAAGCGTATACAAATCAACATTCTTCTGCAGCGAGTCGAAAAAATTGAGTAAGTGCTCTTGAGTATACAGTATATACAGGATATGTATTTCTCATTGTATGAGATGGCATTGGGGTTCCAGCCAACATCTGCTCCGTGTTCTAAACCTCACCCTTACAAGTGTGTAGTGCTACACTAAATAGGTTTTTTTTGTTACATATAGTCAGATATTAATATACCGGTAAGAAATATAATCACAATAGAAATATATTAGAAAATTTGCCACTTTTTTGTGGTAATTCTGTTCAATTCTGATGATAAATATGAACGAAACCTTCTACCACGGACAAACGTGTTTTAAAAAGAGCAATTAAAAGTATTACTTTTGTGCAATTAATTTTACTTCATTATATCCGCATTTGACAAATATGTTGTGTGCCTGTGTCCATTTTCCTCTGAGCTCCCCTCAGCCTCATTTCTCTCCTCTCCATTCATCATCGGCGATGGTTTCAGCGTCTATGTTGACAATCCATCGGGCTACCAGTTACTCATTGAGTCCATGCAACGGTCTCAACCGGTTTCATCTCACACTGACTCCCATTTCCTTACCATCAACCGCATCCAAACAACTGAATGGCTGTGTCAGGTGGTGGTGGCGGGTTTAAAGACATTTATATTCACGCGATCTCACCCAAAAACCTCTATTATGGAATATGTTGGTACCGACAGCCTACCGGGTGTTAAACTGATGTCCTATTTGCATTCTGCACTAATGCATTCTGTACATTTGTTGTTTTTTTCCCTACATTTCAGCATTTTCAAAAACGTTCCGCAAGATTACATCTTCCCAATAATCTGGCTAAATGAGGTAAGAGGATGCATGAACCGAGAGCTTCTACTGTAACTAACATTCACAGTAAAACGAATGTTTTGGCATTTTAATATGAGTGTTAGTTTCAAATCCGTGTCTCAGAAAATGTAACAATTTCTGCACATTTTGCTTTTGACTTGGATAGTTTTACTTTTCCTATTGGGTGGTTTACCTATGAAGCAGTGCCGTGCGGTATTTATGGATGGCATGCGATGTATAAACATCATCGACTGGGCGCTGCGGTGGCGAGATGTTAACTCCCTCGCCTGGTATACAGGAGGTCGTGGGTTCGACCCCGACCCAAACACCTGCTGTATATTTGGAGTTTGCATGTTCTCCCCGTGGTCTCGTGGATTTTTCTCTGGGTCGTCCGGGTTTTCCCTCCACATTTAGAATCAACATCACGCGTTTAGAGTGTTTGGCTGCTCGAAATGTCCACATGACAAGCCACGTCATTGAGCTCTCATTTATGTTGTGGCCAGGTCGCTTCTGAAAAAGAGCTACATAGCTCAGTGGCGCCTTACCTGGTAAAATAGAAAAGTCGCCTTGCTCGGGCCTGGCTTGAGAGGAATTACCACCCACAGCCGAATGAGAGTTGTCTTATTTGGTAATGCATAGCATGTAAAATGATGAAATCATCCACCTTTTGAACATGGCGTATTTATCAACATCTACGCTTTTAACTTGCGTGTCATTATTTTCCACTGTAAAAAAATGTTTAGCCAGGCATATATCGCCAAAACAACGTCATTCTCATCGAAAAATATTAATTGCAAGATTAAGAGAAACTGCAGTAAAGTGTAACATAGCATATTATAACATTTTAAATGGTCTCCCGACAATGTTGGTCTACCATCATTGTTTTCCAATCAGGCCTACAATGAATGTGTAGCGTCATTTGCTCATCATCACGCATTCGTTGTGTTTGACAGCAGGGTGGCACAGTGCCTCACGAAGCATCTGGGTTCGACTACTGACTCGGGCACCACTCTGTGTGGAGATTGTGTTCTCTCCCTCTGTTCTCCGTGGGTTTCCTCTGGGTTTTCCAGTTTCTTCCCATAACCAGAAAAACAGACAAAGCAAACAATGTGACCTGCACATTGGCTCAATTGGGATCACACACGACTGTGAAAACTTGGCCGAACCCTCCTGAAAAAAAAGTCCTGAGACTCGGCGAGGTTTTCCCTGGCTAAACAAGCGTAATAACATTCTAATAATACGGAGTTAGAATTAAGTGTTCATCATGAGTGTTCAGAATCTGACGTGTCTTCTCGTGCTCTGCCACGCCGACAGACAGGGACGTTGGGCGATGACTCTGCCAAGGCCTTCCGTGAAGCCCTCACCATTCCCATGCATGCGCTCTACTCTGTGCAGATCACTCTCATGACCCTGGGCAGCATCGGCATCGTCGTTACGCCGATCGTCTACTTCTCTGTCAAGTCGTGTAAACGTTAGCCGAGCAATACCTGGAGCGAGTGGCAATAGCGCGGTGATCACCATGGGAGACAGTGACTTGGGAAAGAGCCGTGGTGGTGGTGGTGGTGGTATGTTATCAGTGCATAAAGGGGACAACTTTAACATTTTTAAGCGATGATTTCCAATGCTTAATGTCATTTTAACACGTAGACTTTCGCGACCAATATCACGTTTCGTAATTGTTTTTTTGGGCTCAGATTGCTCGAACGAAAAGGTGCGCGTCCTAAACCCTGCTCCCACCCAACGCGGCTAAAAGTAATAAATGTGTCACGTTCAAAATAAAAACCCCACAAAGGACGTGCCAATCCCAGGAGTGAAGGCCGCCACTGAAGATTGTGAGACAGCTCCCCGACATCGCGAACGGTGGGCGCTGCTCGAGCACTACGCTACACTCGCTCGGTTGACGGTGACATCGGGGGGGTCACGGGGGTTTTTTCGGGTCACGTTTCGCCTCCCATAGGGACTCCCGCGTGGTTTCGACTAACGTTGACATTTTGATCAACGGTATGTTTAGGGGCCATCCATAAATGACGTCACGCACCTAGGGGGGGTCAGACATTTGTGACGATGTGTGACGAGGGGGAGGGGGGGGGGTTGAGAAATGTGACGTCACATCAAAATGCGTAACTTTAAATAAATATAGACAGCACGTTCTACTTAATTAAATAGACTTTTTTAATAAATGCTTTTTCCTACAACATCAGAGTGCAGCACCACATTAAAAACGCACTACGATGACAATAGATTAAAGCGATTTGAAGCATGTTTTATTTTTTTTGGGGGGTGGGGCAGAGCTTTGTGACGTCATATTTGAGGGGGGGTCTGATTTTTTGTGACGCCGTGTGACGAGGGGAAGGCCAAAAATCGTCCAAAATCGCGTGACGTCATTTATGGACGGCCCCTTACGTCTTTGCACGCGTGGTGCCAATTTCGGTCAATCCGAGCTGAGCCATGCCCACAGCGAATCAAGTAATTCCTCCATGTGACTCGCAGTTATTTCGGTGACGAGTCGTTTTTGTGGAACGGATTTTAAAACGTTAACCGAGGGACTACTCTAATAAATAGGCACGTTTGTCTGCGTGACAACTTTATTCATTCGCTGTGTCGGCTGGAGGAAGGTTTAGGGCACAACGATGTTGACGCCATCTGACCTAAACGTGAATTGTGAATCGCTCTCACGTCACGTCCAACTTTCTCGCTGTGAGGATCTGGAGAGACTGAGCAAATGATCAGATATGTTCGGGGGGTGGGGGGAGGAATGGGAGAGACGCATAATGTGGCAGTTGAAGTTTCTAGGTGGCTGTTTTATATCGTAGACCATATTTGAGATTTTTGTTCATTCATGTAAATAATCATATTTTATATACTGCGTGTTTCCTTCATTCTCGAGATACGAATATAATTTGCGCCCCTCTGAATTGCGTGTTTCGGTTCACCACCTGCCAATGACCGATACGCCATTGTCTTTGGGGACAGCTCGTGTGTGGCACGTGTCTGGCCTTCCTGTTTTCCACTGGCCACATGTGAGCCGTGCTGGGGCCATGCCGTGCCACACCATCGTGGGTCAGGAGGTACGGGTTGTTCTTTTTCCACTGCAGTAGCCGAGCCATGCCGCAGATGTCGAATGCAACGAACGTGTCGAAGGCACGTTTAGATGACGTGGAGACACGGCATTTGAATGGACTAACCCACGCGAATACCCACACTTTCAAGCACTGATATCCACACGCTCTTACACAGTGCACCCACAGACACACTCGTACACACGTGAACACACTCGAACGCACGCACAGCTGCGTGATACAATCGCACCGTTCTTCAGCACCCCCAAGACTCGCTGGGACAAAATGTAATTGATCTTAACTTCGGTGTGCCGACATCACGCCTGCAGAAGATCAAATGCATCTTCTCGAGGCGTGGTGGCATCAGACGCATCGCGCACATCATTAGCACCCTCCCTTGCTCCCCTCCCCCACACTCCAGTGTAGCAGCATCTTTTGGCTCGGGCACGGTACGGGTATTCGCCAGTAGAAAACCGTCACGCACTGGGCTCGGCTCGCGTTGTCTTGTGACTGTCGTCCCACAATGGGTGGTGCTTGACACTCACTCCGGACTGCTCTCTCCCAAGAGCGGATTGGCCCTATCGCCCGCACTGCTTTAAGGTTTAATGGCCTTACTATACTGAACGCAATACACTGCCAAAGTATACAAAACACATATATATAAGAAATGAATGTACACATTGATTAATGTATTGTTGTTGAACAAAAAAGGCGAGCCCCGTTCCGAGTTTCTGGCGATGATGTTACCTGCACCGCTCGGGTGATTGAACCAGACATGGCGTTTTCTGGTGAGTAATTAATTAGTCTTTCAGGAATGCCTTCACCAACCTGCATGCTGGCAAAACCTTCTGGTACTGTACTCCAAAGCTTGCATTGACTCTGTAAGCGTACCGTCCGTTTGTCAATCCACTGCTGGATGAGGGCCTCCGCCACACCTTGCAGGCCATGAGGGATATTTGACCATACTTCACCACTCTGGTCAGTTTGGGTTGGGGAAGATGTGTGTGGGGGGAGGTGTGCAGAGCAGTGGATTTTGCTAAGATCGTCCATCCAGGTGCTATCCAGACTCAAGCCTGCTCAGCTTCCGAGATGTGACGCGACGCCGTGCATTCTGGGTGATTTTCTCATGCACATTGTTTGAGATATACAACCCTTATATGTTCGGAAAAAAAAATGCTCGCCAACCCGCGTATATTCCTAGCTTGTGCTTGTGGGGACAGAATAAATGTCATGCATAACTATATAACTGTATATCATCCTTGTGGGTATGAATTGTATTGTTATACTGATTTAAAATTATTCCGATGTGATTGATTTGTAAACAAATTAAACATGGTATTTTCCTACAACATTTAATTGCGTGTGTTTTATGTTAATATCTCACGAGAAAAAAGCGTATGTAGAGGTGTATGAGCTTTGCATTATTGTACAAATAACATTGGTTAGAATGTATCCAGTCTTAATTTTATACATTGGATTCCACGACCAATGTTATGATTCATATTGTTTTTTTTTTTGGGGGGGGGGGGGGGATAGGTCGTCGTGTAAAAATGTGTGTCGTGAACCCTCCTCCACCCGACACGGCACAGTAAATGAAAGTGTCACGTGACTTGTTAATGCTGGATATCAGAATCGGAATCAGAATATTGATTTCTGCTGCTAGGAGGAATCCGATGAGCTATAAAGCTCTTTTTCACAGATGTCCAGGAGGGGCATGGGGTAAAAACGTTACAACAACAAACAGCACAAAAACACGACAGTAGTGCAAAGGACAAGAAAGGTAAACAAATCAACCACACACAAACGAATACAACACGAAACCATCATACCAGACAAAGCCCACTGAGGTATTCACTTATTGTTCAAAAGCGACCTGGCCGCAAATGACAGGTCAACAAAGTGGCTTCTCATTTGGACACTTTGAGCAGAAAAATAATCGAAAGAGTCTAAACGCACGTTTCTAAATGTGAAGGGGAAACCCGAAGCACCTGGAGAAAGAATCCACGCGACCGCGGGGAGAACACGCAAACTCCAAACATACAGCAGCAGGCGTCAGGGTCCAGGATCGAACCCCCGACCTCCTGCACACCAGGCGAGGACGACAACAGCTCGCCACGTGCTCGCAACCCGTGCCAATGCCGTGAGATACCCCCCCCCCCCCCAGCGCCAGCGGTGCTGCTCTGCTCGCAGTCACACATTTGGCACGTTTGAGTCACGTGGCGCGTATTCATTGGCTGTGCCGAGTGGTGGCGAGGGTTGATGGCACCATTTTTCATGACGATCTCGCCCAGACGAAGCCGATTGTGGATCCAGTCTGAGTCTTTCTCTTCTACTCATGCCGGAGTAAAATGCAATTCTGGCGAGACTTGGTAATAAATGCTTCTTTTGATGTCTAAAAAGTAGAATTGTTGGAGCGTTTTGAAATGCTATACCTGGCCACTTTGTTTTGTCAACCATCTTTACAGACCCAAAATAGTTCACTGATTGTTGTGATCAAAAAGTGTCCAACTTCACCCCACACGCACAGCAAAGAGCAGCAACTCGATTGGTATAGCTGTATTAGAAACATTATTCCATCTGCACGGCCTTTTTAACTGATACTTTAACTCTACTGGGCGTAATATAATGCTGGGAACAAACGGGATTGAATTGCAAAATGTAGTTCTCGCGAACAAAGACATTTCCCTCTGAATAGAGTTAATTTGCTGGTGGTGACATACGATGTATGCAAGTTGAACTTCTTTTGTACCGTACGTAGCCAACCGTGCTAATCAGAGATACGGGGTGAAGGACAATACAATACTCTAGCACTGGTGTAGACCAAATCAGTTTCAAAGACAATGCATATATTATCAAAACATGTTTTGTTTGCATGTTCACCACAGGTACGTGTGGTTAATGCAGACATTATTCTTTGCAAAAGGTTTCTATTTGGTGTTTGAACATCCTAACACAGATGTTTTATTGCCAGACATGGTAAAGCCGATTGTTATTTTTTCAGCACGTGTTCAGTTCAAGCGACCTTTGCACAGCAGAAATATGGGAAATCATCGCTCTGCGGTTTTCAATGTGGCAAGTCCCCAGAGAAGTTCAAGATAAATGGAACCCAATAAATCAACGGATGAAATCAGCAACTGCCGCATTTCAAAAGTAATAAAGTGCATGTGAGCATCAATCAAGGCAAATATTTTCTTTGGCAAATAATGCAAGCAAAGTAGAGAGGCCTGAAGTGCATCAAAATGATGCATCAGCGCTGTTTCGTCAGTCTGCTGTGAACTCGAGAAATGCACCCAACTTCTTGGTTCTTTCGGTAAAGTCACGTAGAATGGAAATAATAAAATAATAAAAATAAAACATAATTAAATAATTATCACGACGTTTCGGCCACAACGCAAGCAGCCGTCCTCTGGTGAAGAACAGGTCTGTCGAGAAGACAGACCTGTTCTGTCGAGAAGACAGACCTGTTCTTCACCTGAGGACGGCTGCTTGCGTTGTGGCCGAAACGTCGTGAGAATTATTTTATTATGTTTTATGTTTATTATTCTATTATTTCCATTCTACGTGACTTTACCGAAAGAACCAAGAAGATGAATTCATGCAGTCACGAAAGCTTTAAATCGAAATGCACCCACTTTGAAGGTTCAGTGATTCTGCACTTGGTCTATTACTATAGTACTGTAGTGAGTCCAACTGAGTCGCAGACGTTGTTCTTCAGAGGCAACACATTGATTTCACAGCACGTATATCATTGGCAATGTGGTACATGGTATCGACTTCATAAGGAAGGATGGGTTGCCAACCCATGACCGGGGTTTGAACTCGCTCCCTGCCAATTGCGAGCCGCTCCCTCGAGCGCCAAGCCACACGAATGCAACGTTCACGCATCGCGCGTGGTCAGCGAAGGAGCCGGTGCTGCGGCACATGGCGTTGTGGCCACTTTGATACAGCGTTCGCACACGAACTGCCCTTTGCTGCCATACACCCAGTGCCGGATTATCCTAGAAGGAATCATGTCTGCATTAACCACAATGCTTGTGGTCAGAATGCAAACAAAACCATACTCTGATAATGTATGCATTGTCCTTGAAACTGATTGGTCCACACCAGAGACAGCTTTCTTTTGAGCCTAGTCCCGAACGGTGTTAGACCAGAGGATGTCAAAAGGCGTACACAATGTGGAAATATTAACACAAGGTAGAGTGAAATTTTAACAGGTAAGACCTACCAAGCTATGTAGCTCTTTTTCAGAAGCAACCTGGCCACAAATAATAGCTCAACCAAGTGGCTTATCACGTGGACATTTATAGCAGCCAAATACTCTAAACGCACGATGTTGATTCTAAATATGGAGGGAAAAACGGGAGGACTCGGAGAAAAATCGACACGACCACGGGGAGAGAGACGCGCAAACTCCAAATACACAGCAGGCGTCAGGGTCGCGATCAAACCCACGACCTCTTGCATGCCAGGCGAGGTAGTTAGCATCTCGCCACCGTGACCAGAGGTAATGACGAAGGGTTTGATAAATATATTTCATTACATATACATATATGATAATAAAATTTGATATTATTTAATACATAATATTTTTAAAATAACAGGTTTCCATCACTTACACTGGTACACATCTGCTGCAGATGATGGTCAGTGCGGTTTGGTTTAAGGAGGTGCCCGGGGCAAGTTCACATATCGCTCGTCCACTCATGTTAGCCGTAGCCCGAGTCGTCCTCGTAGCCCGAGTCGTCCTCGTAGCCCGAGTCGTCCTCCAAGCCCGAGTCGTCCTCGTAGCCCGAGTCGTCCTCCTAGCCCGAGTCGTCCTCCTAGCCCGAGTCGTCCTCGGGCTACCGTGCCGTGTGCGAGTCACTGTGCGACTGCTGCCCTTAACATACGGCAGCATTGAATAGGGACACGTGTGTGTGTGTGTGATGTTCGCAGATTCAAACACAGTTTCGATGTCCACGACTGTTGCCTTGCTATCTCGAACGATGGGATCGAATTCAAAGTTCTACCGCTGCAGAAATGTGTGTCGTGTTGTAATGCGTTTGTAAAGTCACCCGACGCTCTAACGCGTTATTGAATGACCAATGATCTGGGGGAAGCAGTAGTAGACAACTTTAAAGGTTTAATTTTGGTGCTAAATTGAAAAACGTACGTCAGGAAGCATGATTGGAATATGGGGCGCGTGCACGGGAGTGGCACCTTTGATACATCGCGAAATGTTTTTGTATTATTGTTGAAAACAAAATCCCATTCGACAAAGTGGGTGGAATAACAATAAGTAATGAAGACATCCTTTGGACACGTCCTTATCCAAAGGACACGTCCTTTTCCATTTTAACAGAGCGAATGTCCCGCCAGAAACGAGAATGTGTGAAGGTTGTTTTTGTTTGGTAACCGGTCGTCGTGAGTGGCGTGTAAATAAATGCAACGGCGCAGCCATGCAATGTGCTGGCTCACAGCGCTGCTGGCAGAAGGTGCATTCCGCCAGAGACAGCTGCTGGATTGCATCGGGACTGCTCCTGCACTCGATCACGTGAGGAATTGTATCGATGTGTTGTTTGGACCGCGTGCGGATCGCAATGACAAACATATATTGGGAATGGAGGGAGTACAGATTTGCTTCATGTGCTCAGTTCAAAGTGCGGTTTCAAAACCGCGACCGGGAATGCTTGTCAGCAAATCTGCTGAGGTACTTAAATCCAGATTGAAAACTAGTTCCCTTAGAGCTGCTTCTGCGTGTGTAGTTTGTTATCCTTCCCCCGCACCTCCGATTAGCGCGGTCGGCTACGTACGGTGCGAGAGAAGTCCAACAGACTTACAAACATATACGACCAGTTTCGGTTCAAATAGCATACGCACCAAATCTCTGGATCTTTATCTGAGACGGACATGCCCAGCTGTCCTTGGGACCTATATTTAAAGGTGTTACTGTTGCCCCTCACAGCAAACGTCACCTGGGGAACGAATTCATGCCAGAATTACCTCAGACTATCGAGAAGAGACCGTTTTGGCGATCTTATCTCTATAGCACTGGTGAGACAAAGCCACAGAATCACTTTCAGGGTCAATGCATACACTATCAAAGCAGAGTTTTGTTTGTTTCTATGTTTTACCAGAACTATGTACTAAGCTGAAACTCAACTACTTTTATTGTACCATGTAAGTCCTGCTGAGCTACACAGCTCTTTGTCAGAATCTCCCTGTTTACATTAATAGCTCAACGAAGTGGCTTATCATGTGGAAATGTATATCAGCCAAATACTGTAAACGCGTAATGTTGATTCTAAAGGTGGAGGTGAAAACTGGAAGACTCGGAGAAAACCCCA